ATTTATTTAAACTAGCTCAGTGTTTATAATTTCTTGCAAAACTTAAAATCGAAACAAGCAAGCAAAATGAATGAATGAAGAACAATGAAACAGAACAAAAAAACGGAAAGAGTATCGCAGAGGGAGCGTATAATGCTAACCAAATATGATATATGCATACAGAATAATAAACCCAAACAGAAAAGAGGCGATTAAATTTATTTTATTAACGTATATTTATTATTATTAATTAATAATTAATATTTATCACACATTCCAATGATATTTCAAAATGCAAATTTATTATATTAACATAGAAGAAAACAAACCAAGAAAACAAAACAAAAAACAAAACGTGAAAACCAATGCAAACAATTTAATATTATAAATGTATTTCAAAATATATGATTATGAGTTTTTCTTGCTTTGCATATAAAATCCACAAAACTTGGTTTGGTTCAGTTCGATATATCTATATGTATTTTCCCCTTTATTTTCTTTTGATTGGTGTTTGGTTTCATTCCGAACTACTTATCTATTCTATGTTTTTTTTTCAATTTGTTTTTCTGTTTTAGTGGCTTGGCACATTCATTTTCCAATGAATATTGAATGTTTTCATTTTTCTCGTTTCTTTCCCCCCATTCTATTGATTGCTATAGCTGCTGTATTGAAGCTTCTAATACCTATATACTTCAGTATGTATGTATATCTATCTATCTAGGCTCGACAGTCTCTAATAAATCTCTTCAGTGACCCCCTCTTCTTACATTCACAGAACTCTTGCCTTTTTTCTTTCTGCAATTTTTTTGATTTCATCTTTAACGTACTCTTGATTGGTTCCATATCTTGGGTGCCATATCTATCTCATTTTTATAGTACTGTTTCTGACCTGTTATTTCCACTTTGTAAGCTTCTGTTATGTTTTGCTAATTTCTCCATACTTCTCTCTTTGGTGAACAACCTTCGCTCAATTTGTGTTTAGTAAATCGTATTCTGTTTTGGTTTTTAGATTTCCTACTTTGAGATCAGTTTGTTGCCGCTTCAAGGCCCTCCATGTCCCGGCTTTGACACTTTTGAACATTATTATTTGTAATGGAAATCCAAATCGGGAATTGCTTGGAAGTTAAACTACTTGTATCTTCATTTCTTCCACAAGTGGAGATCTTTGGTTTTGTTTTTTGTATCTTGTGTTACTACTCTCCCAATCTTGATATTCAGTTTGGTAAGTTATGGCCTTTTTGTTGTTGTTGTTGTTGTCGTTTTAACACGCTTAGGCGTTCAGCTCTCTAATGCGCTTCTTACTGGCCACTCCTTAGCTCTCTTTGTTGGGTTCCATGTTGGTCGAATTTTTGTTCATTTCTCGTACAAGTTTCTTTTACAGCACTGCAAATCAACGTCTGACTTTTTTCGTTTGATTTTCAACATTTTCAGCCAACAATTGTTTACAGTGTACTCGCGATACGTTCATTTCACTTTTACATTCAAACACACGCACACATACATACTACTACTTATATACAACTACACCTACACTCCCACCTTCATTACCCCTCTCTTTTGATTATTTCAGTTGTGCTAAATGAAAAACGAAAAATTGCTCTTGTTTTTATAAATACATAGCGTTCGTTTATTTTATGGTACGCAGTGTACTGTTTACCTATCACCCAACTATGATTTTTATTGTGTAAGTAAACTAAATAAATGCAAAGTAAAACTAAAAACATAAACGTAAACAAAAGCCAAAACCAAAAACAGAAACAACAACAGAGCTCAACTAAGTACTTCCACAAGCAACTCCAACTCGAACGTCAACTCCAACTCGAACACCAACTTGAACTCCAACTCGAACTCCACCCCGAACGCAGCCCTCAACTGCAAATGTTGCTTATGATTTGAGTTTTGAGTTTTTTGCGCAGTGTATCCATCCCTATGTGGCTACAACCAACCCTGCATTATCTCTTATCTGCATTGTGTAGTTTTGTTCCATAAGTTTTGCCTTTCGTTCATTGTTGTACTCACGTTTATTGTTTCAACTGATTTTTCGGTAAGTAACAAATTAACAAACAAAAAACCAAAAAAACATAAAAAAAGAACACCAAAAGAAGAAAAGACAAACAATCCAAGAAGGCTAATTTGATTTTCTTTCCTGTACAACGAAAAATATTTGCTAAATAATTTTTACAAAACTAGTAAATGAAGAAAAAACACAATAAACATTAATCGTGATGAGTTTTAACTTTAAAACTGATTCTTTTGTATTTTCTATTGTAGCGAGCTCGACATTAAAAATCCACCAAAAGCAGCAGCAGAAAGCATTTCTAATTTCTTTCCTTCTCTTAATTTATTTTCAGGCGTGTATTGTTCAATTTTCGATTGAATTTGACATTTACATTTAACTTGAATTAGTTAATTAATTAATTAAAACCAAGCTATGATGATTGTAATTATTATTATTATGCATAATAGCAGCAGACGGTGGTGTCTAGAGTTTGCCAACTTGTGACGTCACAATGCCACATTTATCCAAAAATGAACTCCGGACTTACCTCAATCATGCAGACTCTGAACACCACAGTCTATGTATATTTACATATGTATGTGTGCGTGTGTGTGTGTGTGTGTGTGTGTGTCCGTGTCTCGTTACCCATGTACATATGTACAGATATATGTATATATATATATATATATAGTATATACATACACATAATTATATACATATATGCAGACTAGGCATGGTCCTCGAGCTGAGAACGTGTTGGCTCCAAGAGTATCCCAACATCACGGGATCTATTGGGTGCTAACAGGTTCCACCGACTATTCGGTCCATCTCTGGTGCATATCTATGAAGTATCTTATGTACACACATACACGTACACGCACACACACACACACATACACCAACACACACCCACACACATGCATACACATTACGTATTGTAATTTCCTTAATTTAATTAACGCAGCAACTTTATAAGTTACAAACAGCAAGCCATAGTGAATGAAGAAAACGAACAAATCCAAAAATTAACAATAACAATAATAATTAAAATACCAAACCGAATACCAAACGCAAAGCCTAGTTAACAAATTTTTTGATTGTACTCAATGAACCTTTTGCCGCTTTTAACTCAACGATATTAGTTTTTATGCTCATGAGTTCGATTCGTTTCAGTTACTTTTTTCGTAGCGCTCGCACAAAGTCTAGGAACTTGACCTCAACACACCAAACAAAATCAAACCAAGAACCAAAAGAATCATATAGAACCGAAAACCCAAAAACAACAATAACCACAACAAAACCAAAAACAACAACAACGCTATGATATCATCTCTCTCAATCAAAGTTCAGAGGCGTCGGCTGAAGATCAAAGATCGAATTGCCGGGGAAGAATCGAAAGACCACTCTGAGTTTTAATTGCGCTAAAGCCAGCTTAAGTTGAAGTTCTCTTCTATTGTATATAAATATTTATATGTGGTACACATAATTAACTTTTTCTTTCAGTGTATATCTGTCAAAACTGTACGCTCGTGTTCATCTCAATTTACGTTTTGCGTTGCGTTGCGTTGCATTCCCTTTTACTAGAACTTGTATTATCGATTGTTATTGTGATCTAATTTTAAGTTTCTGATTGTGATTTGAAAATAATGAACCGACTAACACAAGTCTTTTTTAAATACAAAAACAACACCAACAACAGCAACAATATAACAAACAGTGCCTACGATTTAAGCTGGCGATTATGAATTTGTATGTGGATTTGAGTTTTCGGTTAACGTTTCGGTTTCGGTTTAAGTTTCGGTTTGATTTGTTTGTAGCACCAGCACTGTGTAACGGTATACATATACGTATACGGTATAGATATGTAGCTCCCTACCACCTCCAACCCCCTCTCCAAAAGACGACTGTACGCAGTCTACTTTGTAGCGGGCGAGGCTGCAGTTCTAGAATCCGAAACAAATACTCGAAAATCAACGCAAACTAAAATGTAAAACTGCCAATTTCGAATCCTACTCGGATCTATTATACTTTTTAGTCATATGCCGGGAGCGCGCACCATATTTACAATTCATTTGTAGTGATTACTTACCATATACTACTTATACTATATGTATGTACTCGTATGTATGTATGTTTTTGAAGCTTTCACCATTTCCGTAAATCGCAACTCTCAACCGGCATTACTTGCATATATTTTACAAATACAACCACATACCAAAAAATATACTCGTATATACAACATCTGTTGATTTCGTATATTGTTGCTATTCGCTTCAGTTTAGAAACATTTAGAACTATCGAATTCGAGTTCGCATTCGATTTCTCGAAAATGAAATCTTATCTTATTTATTTGATTTTTCCAATGCATATTGTAAAATAATTCGATTCTTTTCAATTCGTTTCGAGACTTTACTTTAAAACAGCTACTGAAATTGTTTGAAACTCTTTCATTTTCGAATATGATTTCTGTTGATTTTTTGAGAATCCGATCCCCCAACAACCTTGTATCATTATTCAATTAAACATTTTCATTTCGAGAATGTGTTTGCAAGCGACGACTTGCCCAACGAGTCCTGCAGATTTTTCATTTTCAAAATCCAAATGTCTTCCGCAATGGCGCTAGTTGCCAAAGAAAGTTAAAGAACAACAAAATCATGATTTAGAGAAGCGCTAAAAAAGACTGAGAAACTGAGAAAAGAAACTGGTTGCCAGAAAAGAAAGAAAACAAAACGAAAGAAGAAAGAAGAAAGGAAACAAACCAAAGAGACTGACACAAAATGCAGCTCACTAGCTCAAGACAAGAAAAGAATAAATCCAATGCGAAACGTAATTTCAATCAAATCTAACAAATCAAAAATGAAGCTTAGTTCGTTAAGTCAACTGTGAAATGTGATAAGCCCGGCGCGGTTTGCTGCAAACCGGAGCCGGGCCCCTAGATCTAAAATTTAACTTATGTCTAGTCATATAAGTGTCGAATAATACGAATAAATGAAAGCAAAATCGTAAGAGCTCGCTAACTCACCAGTTCGGCGCGATCTCGTCGAGCCCAGCATGTTGCCAAGTGCCCCGCAACTGCTCCAGCAGAAAGGATACGGGCATGCCGTGTATATTGCCGGACTGGGAGGTGTTGTGCAGATTGATGTCCGCGTGTGCATCGATCCAGACGAGCGACAAATTCGGCGTATGCTGCAAATGTCCGGCCACCGAACCTGCAGAAGATGCAGCAGAAGAGCCAGAGACTTAACATCCACTCACCCACTCACAATTCTGTGCAAATTTCAGTTAACCTACCAAAGCCAATGGCATGGTCTCCACCAATGGTCAGAAACTGCGAGTTCTGCTCCAACATCTTCTGCACCTGCCCGATCAGGGCCCGGTTGCAGGCCATGAAGTCCGCATAGTTTCTTATGTGGCTATAGTGCTCGCGCTGCTGCTTTAGAAGCCGCTCATCGACGGAATACTTCAGATTACCATAGTCGTTGATTACCAGCCGATCTGCAACGAATTTCAGAATAAAGTCCAATCTAATTTTCTAAAAAAAACATCTATATCATTGTGTTTTCTTTATATGTGGTTTGCCGAGTCCTCTTTCCAGATTCCTATATGACAACTGAATTTTGAAGGATTACCAATTCATTCAACAAAGGAGCTTATAAAAATAATTTCCTGTATGTCATCCGCAAACTAAGAGCGTTAATGTGGCTTTAAACATGGCTCTTTGTTCATTGATGGATACTCGGACACACTAACTAGACTGAATCTACACAGGTTCTTTGCTGCTGTACGTCTGTATGAACAGCGGTATCTTTTCAATCATAGCAGCTGAGGGACACCTTTTTCATTTATGGAGATATGCTATGAGTTTTGTATAGTGATGCATTAAAATTTCATCAGAATCGGTGCACCATATCATATAGCTGACATAGGAACGGGCAGTGCAAAAATCAAGCTTAGTACCAAACACATTTTTATACCCTGTACCCGTAGGGTAAAAAGGGTATATTAGGTTTGTGCAAAGTATGTAACATGGAGAAGGAAGCATCTCCGATCCCATAAAGTATATATGTTCTGAATCAGCATGGCGATAGAAATCGATCTAGACATGTCCGTCCGTCCGTCTGGATGAACGCAAGAATCTCAGAAACTATTAAAGCTAGAATAACCAAAGTTGGCATCCAGATTCTCCTAGGTCCGAGAAAGGACGAGTTTATTTTATTTTTTGGAATTTTCCCCCCCTTCCTACGCTACAGAATTTCGTCAATAGCGTCCATATTTCAAATGCTACCTAAACCAAACTTTGCACACATAATTTATATATAATTATCTACTCTTGTTAAAAATTGTATTCAATTCGGTCAATTCTAAGAAAAGTTATAAGCGAAAAAAATTCTCTACAGTACAACCCCCCCAAACTGCAGCATCAAGGTCGCTCTTCTTCTTCCTCTTTTTGCTGCTGCTATGGACGCATATAACTCAGTGACGGAAGTTTACCTGGGTACAGGGTATTACACTGTCGGGCTTGCTCGAATGTAGCGTTCTCTCTTGTTATTTATAGAGATATCTGAAGTAAATCTACTACTTAAATACTTTATACACCGATCGAGTGTTTTAGAAAAAGTGTCCGTCGAGGCGAGTGTCCGGATAAAAGAGGTGTCCATTGAGGGAGTTTTCACTGTATAGTGGGTCTAGACATACCGTAGTCTCATCAAAATCAGTGCTTTAAGTCATATAGCGGCAATAGGAACGATGGGTTTTCAGTTTATGAAGATATCTTAGGCACATCTGGTATTTATGAGTTCTGGACAAACAATCGACCCACTATCCACTATCCACAAAAATCTCAAGCGAATCATATTCTAAAATCATTTTGCCGTTTCTATTAAGGTTGCACGTGGAATTTTTAAACAAATCATTCGTTATGAGAATTGGCTTTTGAACTGTTTAGTTCTTATCAAAGAGATTTGTGTTTCAATTATGAATGAGTGAGTAATTGTTTTTGAGATGTTTGGCATTGTAGAAAATAAAAATTTTTAAATACACGAAGAAGAATGTTTTAAAATCAAATTAGCATTTAAACACAGACACATATTAAGAAATATATACACGTTGTTTTAAATAATAAACTACTCTGCAATATTTGACGGTTGGGGATGTTTCCCCAAAATGGGTATAAATTTCAAGGCACATCATGTAACCACCATTTTGCAAGATAATTGTAAGAATCGAAATATATAGTATATAGCACTTAATTTCACACAATTTTCAATCTTCACTTTTACGTTTGATATAAAAAAACAAACACATTTGCTCATTAAGTGGATGGAATTGGAGTACGCGTGTTTTTTTTTTTCGGTGCACTTTTCCACTTACCATCCACACTTTGGAGGACTTGTGTAAGATTTCGCTGGCGCAACAAATCGGGTGCCAGTTCCACGCCCTGCTTCGACTGACCCTTGGCAAAGGGTACGCCAATGATGGCCAAACTTTGATCAGTGCTGTTGCCACTGCTAGTGGTGTGCTTGAGGCGAGCCAGTCCCACATTTTTGGCCAGTTTTCGCATCCACCACATGTTTGTCACTTTGCTCGCCCGATCGTTCTGCTTTTGACCAATGTCGCTATGCTACTACGGCGCTCGCAATCGGACTCTGCGGCTCGATTGCTCTCACTTTCGCTTGAAAGCCGATGCTACCGACACCAAGTCCAACACCAACACCAACTATCTCGTATCTCTCTGTCCAGGCTACCGATCGAGCTCGCCATTTATTTTTGCGCTCATTGGTGCTGTTCTGATAATGATATTGAAATGTAGTAGCGAATGCGTCAACCGACAGCCTCCACAGCCTCCACAGCCCCCCAGCTGCCATCCCCCACACTGACTTGGATTGTTTATTGTGGTTCTAGCTCTGGCTCTAGCTCTGCCATTATATGAATATAATTACGTTGTGCGGTTCGTCGATAAGGCGACTGACTACTAAGTGCGGGGCTGCAGCGATAACCTTGATCCTGGCATTTACTGACCGTATATATATGTATATATGTTTTTTGTTTACTCATTTACGACAATTTCCATACAAATGTGCGTAGATGCGTTGAACATACTCGTGTAACGAGCCCGACTCGTGTACTTGAATCAATTTATTGACTTCTCCATACGTACATCTGTACTCTATATATATATGTATGTATGTATGTACATACCATGCATGTATGTGAGTCATGTGTGTGGTAGGCGGAAGCGAGAATCGGTACTAGACGTAGTGCCAAAGTGCAGGCCAACATCAGTTCCTCGTTCTATTCTTGATTACCAGCTCCACCCCTTTATATAAAACAAGAAAGGAATGCTAAAGTCGAGCAGGCTCAACTCTTAAATACCCTGTACCACCCCACAAAAAAAAACAAAAAAATTATTAAAACAATTTAATTAATTAATTAAATTAAATATAAAATATTCCATACATGCATACATACATTTACATTTACATCAGAATCGTGTCTATTCGTGTTGGTGTACTTGTACATATGTATGTATGTGTGCATTGGGCCTGGTTATATGGCTATAACTTTCTTTCTAATCACCCTATCATAATGAAACTGTTCTACGGATATATAATCACTAACTGGATGTGACTACCAAATTTTAGTTCAAAATTCCAAGTATTACGGGAGTTATAGAAAATCGTGAATAGGGGGGGGGGGTAGTGGGGGGGGGGGGGTACATCGGGAAAAATGAACAAACTCGTCCTTTCTCGGGCTCAGGAGAATCTGTATACCAAGTTTGGTTATTGTAGCTTTTATACTTTCTGAGATCCTTGCGTTCATACAGACAGACGGACATAGCTATATTGACTCGGCTTGTCATCCTGATCAAGAATATATATACTTTATGGGGTCTGCCACGCCTTCTTCTGTGTGTTCCATGTGCACTCGCACAAAACTAATATACCCTTGTACCCTTTGGGTATAACAAGTGGCTCGCCCCGGCTTCGCACGGCTAGTATGTTGGTTTTGATTTCACATTATTTTGATCTAACCCCTAAAATAAAGGGCAGTGTGGAGTCATTAACAATATAAATATACACATATCACATATCGCAAATTTTAGTTGTACCAAAGGGCGTAATTTCAACCCATGAATTAAATTTACGTGTTTTACTTAAAAATAATTTATAAATAAATAATCGTCTGATACAGATTTGTTGAACTTCATTTATCATTTTAATTCATTGTTATACCCTGTACCCGTAGGGTAAAAAGGGTCTATTAGGTTTGTGCAAAGTATGTAACATGCAGAAGGAAGCATCTCCGACCCCATAAAGTATATATATTCTTAATCAGCATGACGAGAGAAATCGATCTAGACATGTCCGTCCGTCCGTCCGTCCGTCTGTCCGTCTGGATGAACGCAAGAATCTCAGAAACTATAAAAGCTAGTATAACCACAGTTGGCATCCAGATTCTCCTAGGTCCGAGAAAGGACGAGTTTTTTTTATTTTTTGGAAATATCCCCCCCTTCCCCCGCTACAGAATTCCGTCAATAGCGTCCACATTTCAAAAGCTACTCTAACCAAACTTTTCACACATAATTTCTACATAATTATCTACTTTTGTTTCAAATCTAAATCGGATGGTTCTAAGAAAAGTTATTAGCGAAACAACTTTACTTCGGTACTACGCCTACAAACTGCAGCATCAAGTTCGCTCTTTATCTTCCTTTTGCTTCTGCTAGAGGCGCATATACCTCAGTACCGCAAGTTTCCCTGGGTACAGGGTATTTTACTGTCGGGCTTGCTCGACTGTAGCGTTCTCTCTTGTTTTATTTGTAGACTTTTCAAATTTTCTGGCAATGTGTCCCTTTTAAGGTATGCCACACGTCAATACTGGGTATTGGGGTGATATTCAGTTCGGCCATTGGCTTTTAAAAGTTGGCTAACATTTCGCGCAGAGCTTCTATTATAGGCAAAAGCCTTTCCCCTAGGCTCCTGACAACGGTTTGATTCAAGGTATTTCACTAAAATAAGTATAGTCGCGCCAGCCCGATTCTTGTATACCCTTTACACTCCCCGTTCTTACCCACAGTTCTTCAAATACTATACAAGTTTGTTGCCCGAATCATTCTGCGGATATAGTGCATCGATTTTGATAAAACTTCAGAATATTGTGAGGCACTATACAAAAAATTATATTGCAATTTGTGTATAAAGTAAATATATATTTTAGCGTCTTGGTATTATTATATGAACAATCTACATTTAGAGTTACAATAAGTTCTAGTTATATACAAAATTAAATAAAAATATGTTATATTTTTTAGTTGTAAAAAAAAACACTTGATCTCGTTGTAATTATACATCGTAATTATACAGAAATAGATTTTGCTAATAATGTTTATTGGACTTTAAAGAGAGATAATTCTTCTATAATTAAATTTCATACATATATAATTAAATTGTAAATTTCTATAGATGTATTAATAAAATATTATGATGGTGGAGTGGAGTGCAAAGAAAACATCAATTTCATAGATCTAGGGACAACTATAGGGACAAACCTACAATTAACTCTGTTGATGCTGGCCCGTACTCGTATACCTTTCGAGGTACATCCGAATCAGACAAACGTACACGTGAAGATATATACACTTTGTATAATTTGATTTATTTAAAGGGCATTCGTGATGAAATCCATCTATTTTTGTTGTGAATCAAATCCTCGGCTTTCCCTTCATTTAAAGGGAATTGAATGATAAACATACATTTTTTTCAGTTCGTTTACACCTATTTCAATATAAATCTTTGACCCCAATTTTCGCTTATTTGTGGACAAAATGGTTCAAAACGGACCTTTTGTCTTGAAGATCCAGATGTAGCATATAGTGAACATTTTGAAATGAAAAGTAAGCTTTACTATTAGAGTCAGAGCCACACAGACAGGAGACAGGCGGCTGTTAAATGTCTGTCTTGCCTTGCATTCCGTAAAGAAAAGATCCTTGTAAAAATTTAGTAAAAATTTAATATAAAAAGTTGTTCTGCAATTTCGCAACTTTGTGTGAGGACAGTATCTAAATTGTAAGTCTTGCAATCAGAAACAATTGGAAGTGCACGGATGCACGAAGCTTTGGGAAGTGGCCAAGAATATTCTTCTTTTTTTGTTGTTGTTAAATCCTGATAAATTCTATCAACCCAGTGGGAAACCGAGATGTTTCGTGATAAAAAGAAAAGCTCTCCTAGTGTCCCACACATCGGGGCCAAAAGCAGCACGCCACGTATTGGCGCTCCATCTCCACCAGCTCTCAGAATATCGCCAATTAGTAGACGGCAGCAAACGGGTGTCCCAAAACCCACCAAATTGAAGCACAGTGGAAGCACAGTGCGATTACCTCGTACTATGCTTGCAGGTAAGACTGACAACATACCTATCCCGTAACAATGTTTTAACCGATATGTGTATAATTTTACTCTTTAAAAGAATTACCAGAGTCGCAGCAAAATGCAGGCATCTTTGTAGCACCCACAGATTCGGGCGCAGATGAACGCACACCCACCAGCTCGATAGTGTCCTTTGGACAGAGAGCGGCAGCTTCGGTATTCAATCGACCACCAGGGACCAACGTTGCGAAAGTTTCTCCGCGAATGCATTCGACTAGAAGATTGTCCGGTGATGGCTCAGCAGTATTTGAGGGAAAGGCACAGCACAGCAACGCAGCAGGTGGCGCTCAGACTTTCCATGGAGTGCATGATTTCAGAAAACCGACTGGAAGTCAGCAAAAACCCACGGTTACTGTACCTGCAACAACTTGTGGCGCAACTCCTTTCGGCGCGAATTCTGAAACTAAACAGAACCCCTTGGGTACTGTACCTGCAACATATTGTGGCGCAACTCCCCTCGGAGCATCTCCTTTCGGCGCGAATTCCGAAACTCAACAGAACCCCTCGGGCACTGTACCTGGAAAATATTGTGGCGCAACTCCTTTCGGAGCAACTCCTTTCGGCGCGAATTCCGAAACTCAACAGAACCCCTCGGGCACTGTACCTGGAAAATATTGTGGCGCAACTCCTTTCGGAGCAACTCCTTTAGGACCAACTCCTTTCGGAGCAACGCCTTTCGGCGCGAATTCCGAAACCCAACAGAACCCCTCGGGCACTGTACCTGGAAAATATTGTGGCGCAACTCCTTTCGGAGCAATTCCGTTCGGCGCGAATTCCGAAACTCAACAGAACCCCTCAGGTACTGTACCGGCAACATATTGTGGCGCAACTCCTTTCGGCGCGAATTCCGAAACTAAACAGAACCCCTCGGGCACTGTACCTGGAAAATATTGTGGCGCAACTCCTTTAGGAGCAACTCCGTTCGGCGCGAATTCCGAAACTCAACAGAACCCCTCGGGTACTGTACCGGCAACATATTGTGGCGCAACTCCTTTCGTAGCAACTCCGTTCGGCGCGAATTCCGAAACTAAACAGAACCCCTTGGGTACTGTACCTGCAACATATTGTGGCGCAACTCCCCTCGGAGCAACTCCGTTCGGCGCGAATTCCGAAACTCAACAGAACCCCTCGGGCACTGTACCTGGAAAATATTGTGGCGCAACTCCTTTAGGAGAAACTCCGTTCGGCGCGAATTCCGAAACTCAACAGAACCCCTCGGGTACTGTACCGGCAACATATTGTGGCGCAACTCCCCTCGGAGCATCTCCTTTCGGCGCGAATTCCGAAACTCAACAGAACCCCTCGGGTACTGTACCTGGAAAATATTGTGGCGCAACTCCTTTCGGAGCAACTCCTTTCGGCGCGAATTCCGAAACTCAACAGAACCCCTCGGGCACTGTACCTGGAAAATATTGTGGCGCAACTCCTTTCGGCGCGAATTCCGAAACTCAACAGAACCCCTCGGGTACAGTAGCTGGAAAATATTGTGGCGCAACTCCTTTCAGCGCGAATTCCGAAACTCAAAAGTACCCCTTGGGTACAGTAGCTGGAAAATATTGTGGCGCAACTCCCCTCGGAGCATCTCCTTTCGGCGCGAATTCCGAAAATCAACAGAACCCCTCGGGTACTGTACCTACAACATATTGTGGCGCAACTCCTTCCGGCGCGAATTCCGAAACTCAGCAGAACCCTTCGGTTACTACACCTGGAACATATTTTGCCGCAAATTCGGCTGGTCTTGTCGTCCCGGAAACGCGTAATCCGCCCGATATTAATTGTGGCGCACTTCCAACAGGCGGAAGCGGTTTCTTTGGAACCCATACAGGTGCTGACTTTATTTGTAACACGGCAGGGTTAAGCACAACTGTTGGCGCAGCGTTCCTATTGGTGACCAGCACACCCTTGCCTACGCAGTCCACAATGCCAAGACACAATCAGATATTGGCCAAGGTTATGGCCTCGCCATTCCCTGATAGTCGCATCTTCAACGCTACGAAGCATGCTGAGGCAGATGCTTTGCATAATGAGAATCCAGTAACACCAGCACCAGCAATACCATCCATAGCCCCAACACCACCTCCCCAAATCATTCCGAGCAATAATCCCAAAGAGCCAAACATCAATAGTGTCAAGATATCGAACATAATCAAAGTTAGGCCATCGGCCTACACTCCCTATGAAAAAGACCTGTTTGATGGGTTTCATGATTGCGATATCCACTTTGATGATTACAACATTCAACCTCGCCCCAATCTTAAGCAGTTAAAAATTAATAATAGTTCCAAGAAAACTCAACTTGCTGGTGTTGGTTCACACAATCCCCTACCTTCCCTTAACCCTCAATCCATTCCATATCCATTATCACTTCCTCCAATGCCACTAAACAATACACCATCTATCCCATTACCATTCGGTAATACCGAATCACGTTCAACGGGCATCACATTGACGCGCTGTGGATACTACACGGTACCATCGTTGGATGATCTAAAATTGTTTGTGGCTGAAGATGGGTCTTGTGTTGTGCCTAATTTCACCATTGGGCGTCCAGGCTATGGGAGCGTATATTTTGAAACCGAAATGGATGTGGCTGGCCTAAATCTGGATAGAATTGGTAAGTGCACTCAGAAATATTAGAATTTAAAAAAATACAACTAAGCCAACTTTTGGAGAAGCTTCTTTTTATGAAACGATTCATGAGACGAATTCCGTATGAGATTTTACCTCTATGTGGATTTACATCACGTCTGAAGATTCTTCATTTTGTTATTAATATTCACTTGAATATTGCGATTTCGTTTCGTATTTTAGCTTTATTACAACTGTAGTCCAGTAAAATCTACAAATCAAGTTATTGGAGCTACATTCCATAAAGCATAATAACAGAAAATCCACTTGGGAATTGAAAATACGATAAATATAAGAACAATAATAGTTTATGGAAATTGTTAGAAATTTCCTTTCTTAACTCAACTGAAAATTTAGCTTTAAACACTGAAGAAACCATTTGGAACATTTTCCGTAATTTTGGACAAAAATATAAGACTTCCGTCAAATTTATAAAAATTGAAGAAAGGTATTTGCTTAAAATTTCGTAAAATTATGTGATTTGTTAACTTGTTTTGTTTCCAAGTACAAAAAAACGAATCTGAAATTGGTTGTATTCAGTTTTTCTAACATACAGAAACTCTGATTTTAAAAAGAGATAAGGAGTTCTTGGAACTACCTACTTCTATCAACAAAAGTGCATATTCTCCCTTAATCCATCCTTATAATCCGAATTCCATACAAATTTGAAAATTTCAGTGCACTTCAGGAACATGGAGATCACCATCTATGATGATGATGATGAGAAGCCACCAATTGGCAGCGGTTTGAATCGTGAAGCCCTAGTTTCTCTGGAACAGTGCTGGCCACGCGATAGATCCAAGCGTGAGCCTATAACGGATTACCAAACATTGAAAGATATGGGTTGGATAGCGAAGTTGCACCGGGCGTGTGAAAGAGACGGCACCGAATTTGTTGGGTACTGTGCTGAGACTGGTATATGGTCTTTTAGAGTGCAGCACTTCTCCAAGTATGGCCTAGACCTGATCTAACCAATCAATGAACAATTCGTGTCACCACAAAACACCAATTATAGTTATCGAAGAAGGCACTTGGTCGCAGACATAATTCAAATTTTTATCGTTGTTCTTTTAGTTGTTTTTTTGGTTCTTTGTTCCTGTTTATGTTAAAAATAATAATAATAATTTAAAAATATAATGTCACATTTTGGCTTGAAGTCGGAGCAGTAAGCCCAGTTACAAAGATTTAGCTTCATATATTTTTTCTAGATATATTCCTTGATATACTTGTATGTTTTGTGGCAAACGAGAATTGTGATTTTCTGATGAATTAAGTAAAAATATTGTGGAAATAAATTGTGAAAATATTGTGGCCGCCCTCCTCTGCGATTCTCATACCAAGTACTTAAGTGATGGCAAACGAGAATTAAATTGTGATTTTTCGGATAAATTAAATATAAATATTGTGGAAATAAATTGTGAAATTTCTGATAAATTAAATTAAATAAAACAAATATTGTGGACGCCCTCCTCTGCGATTCTCATACCAAGTACTTAATTGATGGCAAATCGAGATTTGTGAAGTTGTGAAATTTCTGATAAAATAAAAAATAAAATAAAAAAAATGCTTAAATTACTGATAAATTAAATTAAATAAAAAATGATTGTGGCCGCCCTCCTTTGCGATTCTCATACCAAGTACTTAAGTGATGGCAAACGAGAATTAAATTGTGATTTTTCCGATAAATTAAATAAAAATATTGTGGAAATAAATTGTGAAATTTCTGATAAATTAAATTAAATAAAAAATGATTGTGGCCGCCCTCCTTTGCGATTCTCATACCAAGTACTTAAGTGGTGGCAAAAGAGAATTAAATTGTGATTTTACCCAAAATAAATTAAATAAAAATATTGTTGAAATTAATTGTGAAATTTCTGATAAATTAAATTAAATAAAACAAATATTGTGGCCGCCCTCCTCTGCGATTCTCATACCAAGTACTTAAGTGATGGCAAACTAGAATTAAATTGTGATTTTTCTGATAAATTACATAAAAATATTGTGGAAATAAATTGTGAGAACCCTGATAAATTAAATTAAATTTTAAAAAATATTGTGGCCGCCCTCTGATTTATTTTATTTTATAATAAGTAGTTATTAAAGAAAGAAAAAATCCACTCTAGACTTAAAAGTTTGTAATGTAAATTAAATTCCGGTAAACAAGTTCAGGAACTAAAAACATTTATGTATGTATGTAAATCAGCTATGTTGTTAACAAAAATAATAGGTTATTCAATTTTGAAGGTAATAAAAATTTAATGATAATCATAAATACAGAACATAAATTTAATTTTGAACTGAACGCTCTTGCTCGTTCGGCATCTACCCATACAAGAATAGATTCAGCTGTGTGTTGTTATTTATTTGTGTTGTGTTATTTTGTACCGTGCTAAATGGCATAAAATCGAGTAAAAATATTTGAAATTATTTATTTTCAAACCGTGTTAAATGAAAACCATGTGAAAACAGAATTAGGGTAAGGCGAATAAGTGGTAAATACTCGCAAGTAGTTCAAAAGTATCCCCCGTAATGTTGAAATCAAACTCAATAACATGGTTCGAATCGTGATGCTCAAGTCAGATGTTTTTAAAGTGGTTTTTATAATTTATTTTGTATTTATGTTGTATAAGTCATAATCTTTCACTTCCTTTACTTATATTGCTATATATTTCTATATATAAATAGCTACTGAGCCTATGGAATATATAAATAAGCATTATCCTTTATGCTGATATCATTTTCTCGTGGTGTATCATTTATATATAGTATGTCGCATATATGTATAAAGTGCTCGATATTTATATTTATTTATATTTAAGCATTCTAGTTCATGTCTTTATTGATGTTTTAAAATCGTAGTATTCTTGATTTAAAGCTAAATACATATGCATACATATATTTGCTTTGTATATATGTAATATAATATCATTGCACATCGAAGCATATGGAATGAAATTTGTTAACTTGTAGCAAAGTGTTAAATAACCGAACAGACATACAAACATAAGAAAATAGAAAATGTACATATACCATAATTTAAAAAAAAATGTATCAAAAAAAGATTGCCAACCAATCGACATGGAATGTTTAAGCGTTTACAAATTTGCTTGCCCTTACATTTTTTAAGTACAATAAAATGTTAAAAATTATTCGTTATTTTTATTTTTGTTGTTGTTGTAGTTTTTAGTTTAGCTTTCAACGCTCAGTCTTAATTATAGTTAAATGTGAGGGTTGTTCTCTCTTCGGTTTGCTGTTAAATATTTGTGTCCTTAAAAAGTTTAGAGATTCGCCTAAATGGATAGACTATTAGACTGTGGCTTTTCTTCCTTGTTTTCTAATCGTTTCAATTTGAATATAAATGCAGGCAAGTCATGTACGAATTAATTAATAAATTATAAATATACATATATGTATATATATAGTTATATATATAAGTGTTTTATATATGTATGTGCAGTAGAAATATTATACAAATTTAACTAATTCAGCGCAAGCAAAATACATTGCAAAAAAAAAAAACTTGTTAAAAATTGTAAAAATTGCTATAATTTTCATTTCGCGTGTTTTTCCTTTGCTTTCATTACCCTCTTCTTCTTCTTCTTCCTTTTTTAAAACGTTCGAATCACAGTTATGTTGTGTGTTGTTGTTGTTGCTGCTGCTGCTGTTGTTGTTGTTGTTTTTGTTGGCTAATGTCTGCGCTTCTTGCCATGATTGTGTAGCATAACAATCTCATCGCCACTCTCATCGACATCATAGTGCTGGTCGTCCTCACGATCGCCTCTCTCATCATCCTCGTCTGCGTCATCGTCGGAGTTCAGGATGTGCTCCAGCTGATCCTCATCGAAGTAAGGTTGTATGGTCATGCCGCCTGCAACAAAATACAAAACGAACTTTACTTCTCACACCAGAAATGTACATAAATTTTGTTTGGTTTCAAGCTCAGGTATTCTCAACAGCTGCCAACAGCTACCTTTCCCAAGGTACTTATGTATGTCTCCTGAGCAGATTCTAAAATAATAATGCATTTATACAGCTTCGATTTTCCCGACAATTAGTGATAACAATACCTTTGGATTACCAAAGCACAAGAAATTTAAAACGAGAAGAAATTTAAGAATATCGTACCACCCCGACTCTTTAGTCTATACTCGTATATATAAGAATATACATAAGATTTGTGATAAGCTTGCACTGCACATAAATAAGACAAGTCTACATACAAAGTAAGGTGCCACCAGCTGTTATAGTTTAAAAGTTCTCGCTGTTCATACTGACGGACAGGCGGCCATGTCTATATCGATTCCTCTCGACATACTGATTATATTTGAAACTATAATATGGGGACTGGTGTTTCTAGTAATCCCTTTCACTCTTCGAGTATAGAAACGCGAACGGTAACGCACCTAATGATGAATTCATAATGTGGCCTTATGTCGCAGCTCTAGCCCACATTCCAATACTAAGAGACATTCGCCAGACCACCATAATATTCCTCATTGCTTTTGGCTACACTTACGTTTAATTGGCGATCTAAACAGCTCCGTCTCACCATCATCACCGGCATCGTCGTCCAGCTCGAATTGTTCCTTACCCTTTTGGGGCAGCAGCGAGAAGTTATAGTACGGCTTATTGCCGCGATGTCGTCGGTAGAACCAGAACTGGGCGCACAGCACACACACAACGACGCCCGCAATGATCAGCACACTGGCAATGATAATGAAAACGATACGCGGCAGACCAAAAACATGTCCATTAAACTTCAGATGGAAGACCACATTCTCGGTTGGCTGCCCGGCCTCGGCCAGATGTAGCTCCCGCGTTGCCTCAAAGTGACGCGGCGCCTCCACCTTCAGCGTGACATCGCCCAGCGGCACAGCCGCCAAATGGTAGACGCCCATGCTGTTCGTGAAGTTGCGGACATTGCTGAATGCGGTCGGACTGATCACCGACACCTTGGCGTTGCGTATGGGGTGATTACCGGTGTCGAGCACCACACCCGAGACGCGTGTTGTGCCAACGCCGAGATGTTGTGTCTGCTTGCTGTGCACCTCGCTCACCTCGCCCCGTATGAGTGTGTAAGGATGCAGCTTGACAATGCCAATATCAAGGATGTGGCCATGTACTATATCCGCCTTTACCACCTGCGATTCATAGTTTGGAGCGCTCACTTCCAGGCCATACAGACCCTTCGGCAGAATCATCTGGAAGTGGGCGGCATTACGAGTCACATTGTAGACCGGATGATGCTCCAACAATCGAACGAAGGCCTCGCGCAACGGCTGACCCTTGTCGTTTTGCACTTGACCCTTGACACCTGTCTCCACCAAATGCAGAAAATTTGTGATCTTCTCAATATTGGTGCGCCATATCTGAGCGATCTCCGTATGCGGTGGCATGCGACAGCAAGATAAGCCCAGTGTAAACATGGGAAGGTTGTAGTGCTTGTAGAAGAGATTGGTCAACCGCTCTGTGCTCTCCTGGTGCAGCTGACGGGTTGCTGTGACCGCGCACTGCTTCGGAAAATAGTTGAACTCGGTGCGCTCGATGCTATGGGCGAACTTCTCCAATATGGGCTCACCCTTGGGATAGCTGCTGAGACGAGAGCAGTTAATCAAGTGTTAATCGGGGCAGCACATTCAAGGACTTACCTCAATTCGGAGCTGCCAGCGCTGAAGGTTAGCATGAGATCAAACTTTAGGAAATTTAAAAGCATATCGCTTGCTTGGTCCGATTTGGGACCGAGCACACGATCGGCCAGTTCGTCGGGCAGTACAGGATCACAAATGGAGTTGCTGGAATGTAGAATATTCGAATGAGAAATGATTGTTTAATGAATGCCCCTTGCAAACGAATCAATCTCCAACGATAAGTGCACCTTTTAGCAAAAAATTGTTCATCACAGCCGATCTGGTATTTTGGAGCTGATTTTGGTTCAGTTTAATATATCGTAGTGCCAAAATGTTGACCCCCAAGTATCTTCTTGGATTTAAAAATTCACATTTCTGTCGTATTTCGCATTTCGCATTTGCTATCAAGATGATTTTTCGAAATCGCAAAGTGTGAAATCTTGAGAGTAACATTTGAAAACAAATTTGAAGTTCGTTTATTCAAATTAAATATTAACTTTGAGCGGTGCTTAAAGATTTTTAAAAAACAACTACGTTTTCATGATATTGGAAGCAATATTAGTTAATTCCAGGCACTTCCCCATTATATTTTATCAACCATAAAAGTGATTTGCCGAAAACATCTACAATATATAGCAATCGAAAGTAAACTTCTCACTATTAATAATAACATTGTATAAACGATGAGTGAAATCTTTTCATTTATTCTGGGAGCTTGAACCATCACCACCATGTCATCATAAGTAGTATGCAGACACTTCTTAGTTACGCAATTCTAAGCAGAAATGTAGCCATTTCTATTTTCACCCAGCGAAAGGGAAAAGGACTTGACACTTACTTGGCATTGTACATGGCGAAGACGTCGGCAAACTTCTCCGTCTGGGGCAGGAAGTAAAGGACACTTTGCTGCAGCAACTGCAATACCCAACTTTCGCGCAACTTGTATCCCTCGATCAGATGGCGCACCAAATTCAACATAATTTCGCGTGCGAGTGGCGCACTCGTATCGAACATGGAACTTAGGATAAGTATCTTGTATTTGTGCTCCTCCGGCGCACCAAGCTGTAAATAGAGTAATGGGAATAGATAGTTCAGCTACCCCTGATGGCATTTTAATGAATACTCACATCTTCGGTTAGCTTGAGATAGTTAAAGTACTGACTGAACTCGTTGTCCGCATAGCCAAAGCTGGCTATCTGTCCCATCTGGTTCTCCACCTCAGCGAAGCGTCCGCGAATTTCGCTGTCCGAGTGATAGCGCGTATTGACGACATTCTCGATGATGCGATAGTCGTTGGCTGACGCCCAGTGCTGGGGATCGTCACGCATTAGAGTTACGTCCAGTCGCATGCTGAAGGGCTCCTTGTCAGGCACCTCAACCTCCACTCGCTGTGGTGCGAAATTATCGGCCAGCACTGTCACATTATGGCGACCAGGCAGTGCCAGCTTCCAGTAGTCGCCATAGAGGCCGCTGTATGTTGTGTGATTGGCATCATCGAGGCGCACAATGGCTCCTGCAATGGGCGAGCCTATGGAGCTGCGCACAAAACCGTGAACACCATGATGGACCTGCTCAATGAATTTTAATAATGGCTCCCGATGGTCGTGCCAGTACTTCGGGAGATCTGCGGCTTTGGGAAACTTGTCACAGCCCATCTCAATGGTCAGTTCGAGGCAACCGGCCCGTACATAGTTCCAATCCTGCATGCCACCCGTTACACTGTACCACTGAGCGCCATTCGTGATGCCATCCTTGAAGATCTCATTCTGGAATAGCTCGCACGGATTTCCGAGATGCATGGTGGGGTGAGCCTCTGAGTAGACCATCGCCAAATGTTTGAACAGTTCCTGATCTTCGGTGGGATTCAATTTGTGGCCCACAGTTGCATCGCGAAGACGCGAATAGGGATCATTGAAGTCATTCTCGTTATCGTCGAATGGATAATTGGCCACCAAGGAGCCCCCATGCAGATTGGCAGACAACACGAATGGCAGCGACAGTGTCCAGTTCATTACAGCCTCCACCTCAGGCTCGGTCACTCGATTGAACTTGTCGGTGCCATACTGATCGGGAAAGTTGCGATTCAAATCCATGTTGTGTGCATTGGCCCGGCCCAGGCCACTGGTGCGATCCCCCTCGTGTGAGATCTCATAGCCATCCGGATTCATGCTGTAGAGGAAGTGCATGCGCGTGCTATTGACTAGACGGGAGATGCGCTCGTCGCTTCCATAACGCTCGCACAGATACTTGGTGAGCAGGAGAAGCATTTCCCGACCCACCACCTCGTTGCCGTGCATGTTGGCCACATATTTGAACTCGGGAACACCCGGCACATGGCTGCCGGGCGTGGCAAAGATCTCCATCACCCACAGATCCCGGTTCTGTACACTCTTTCCGATGCTGTATAGGCGTGTGATGGACGGATAACTGGCATTGATATTCCGAAGGAAGCTGCGAAAGTTAACAGACATACATGATGGGGTTAGAGCGTCTAATCTTGTTTGAAGCACGATGTCGTTGGCCAACCACACGCATTCACACATTCACGCATACGCACCTCTCCATGGCCGTGTAGTTGTGATGCTCAAACTTTGTGGGCGTCAGGAATCCATCATACATCTGCTCGCGCTCACTGGCCGGCTCGGCGCGTTCCACCTTCAGCTTGCGAAAGGCGCCTGGATTTGAATGAGGCAACAAAAAATGGGGATTAGGGTAATGAAACCACAAAATGCCTGACGGGTAAGCAGCAGTGCCTCAGCATTATTCTTATTTTCTTCTTTAAATCTAGTTCGCTAGGGTCAATTAGTAGTCGGTTAGCTTTATGCAATAGGCATGGGCGAGGGGGGTGCAGGGCCATGACAAGCAAATGAAAACTCCATCAATTGAGTTAAGCAATTTCCAATGGACAGTGTTAAGGTGCAGGAATCCAAACCAACAAAAGCAAATAATATGCTACAAATATTTAATTGATTTCGAAAATCAACTATTAAAAAAATACATAAACACATAAAACAAAAACAAAACAATAACATACAAATAATATAACAAAATGTTGAACTATTAATTGAATTGAAGCTCCCAGAACACACCAGAATCTCAACCAACCACCAAGCCAATTTCCATAGCCTCCAAATAGACTGATTACTAAAAGTTATGGCATTCAATTCATTTTATTTCAACAATTAAAGTAAGCTAAGAAAACCATCTCCACTTGCCTAGGCCTAACATTTTATTATAGATATATTGTATAGTATTTATCATGTTAAAAGATTTGCTTTCCAAGCTATCTATATTTCGCACTCGAATACTATGAATACAAACAAGTGGTAGGGCTTTACTACATACATATCTATTCGACGATTGTGGCCTGCATCCTCTATTAAACAGTTTACAATTTGGAATAAAATATTACGATTTATTTCATATATATATATATATATATATATATTCGGGAATAAAATAAGCTACAGATATACATATGTATGTATGTGTACATATATTTTCATATAGAGTTGATAAAATAGGTAGCCGTGGTTAGTTTTTTAAACTTACGCAACGCAGCTTTAAGCCCGAGACTTATGTTGGCTGTGTGCATTCATAATGGGTATTATAAGTAAAATATATATGTATGTTTATGTATGCATATAAATGTATTTGTGTATTAAATAACTAGCAAATTGTACAAATTGACTAGAATTGAGCGAGAGCAATAACCTGAGGCAACAATGTTGTAATACCGGCACCAAAAACTGAACAAGAACAAGGAACAAACAAAAATAAAATGTTCCACAGATTCTACTAAGAATATGCTATATGTATGGATGTTTGTATGTATTTTTCAACCAAAAATGATATGCTTTTCTAAAACATGAAAACAGTCACATAAGTATGAAATTCATGAAAATAAAACGCACTACACAAAAATCAAAAGATTTATTTGCCTTTAGTAGTAGTAAGTAATATTTCTATTCATGCCATAATCCTTCTTTTGTATTTATGTACTTGTATATATTTTTTATTTTTATTGATTTTTTTTTTGTCACATATTTTTAACATATATTCCATATGTAATCGTTTGCACACAGAGAGGGAGAGAGTGAGAAGGGGAGACGCACACAAAATGTTTAACAATTTTCGATAAGATTTCCAATTATGTATATATTTATAAGTATACGTTTATAGAATGCACGTATATATATATTTTTTTAATGTAATACACGTCGTAGTAATACACTAATATATGTATGCATATACCCGTGTGCATATGTATGTTTCCGTTTTTAAAATTTTTTATTCAAATGGGGGGGGGGGCTTTCTTCATAGTTATTACGCAACGGCAATCCTGGCTCGAGCACAGAGAGCGAGAGAGGTGTGAAGTGAGAAAAACAAGACAGGCCCCCAAATTTGCAGTGCCATGTGTGTGTGTGTCTGTATGTGTGTGTGTGAAATACTCAGTTTCAAAATGCATTCGTTTGTACACAAATTAAAGAGTTGTCCCATGAGAGCGAGAGAGAGAGAGAGAGCAAAATAGAGAGCAGAATCTCAAATAAGTACAAATTAATGAGCGCCAAACGAAAAATAGGAGAAAATTAAAACAACAATGTATATACATACATACACATATAATATAAAACGCGTTAAAAAAAACGAATGTATAGTACATTAAAAGAACATAAACTGATAGTGGTAGCATGGACGTGCAAGTGGAAGGATGTGTTTCAAATTTACAGTGTGTGTATGTGTGGCTGTGAGCATTGGTATGGGGTATGTGGTTGTTCAAGCTTTGGCTATATATGTCTATATATATGCATATAGATATTGTATACATGTACGTTAATTCTTGTGCAGCAGTTTCTGTGGCAATCGGTGCAGTTTTTAGATGCATAGCTTAAATGAATATACATAGTTAGTTAGTGGTGGTCAACATATATAGAGTGGGCGATAGCGAGAGGGACGCGGTGGTGGCTTCGTTTGCTGCTGATGCTGTTGCTGCTGCTGCTTTTGCTTTTGTCTTTGTCTTTGCTTCTGCCGCTACTTCAGTTGTTTTGTACGGGCCGCTTAGTGGCTAAAAATATAGGGACTGTAATAACTGCTAATACCATCATAGTTCGTCTCAATGGGTGATAATTTGAAGTCCAAACGTAATGCCTCCGCATTGTCATTCGTGACATGGATCTGTTGAGGTGCACTCGATTGATAGCTAGATTCGACGTAAGGTGAAAAGAAAGCAGATGGTTAGTTTAGATCACAATCACAGTTCACATTTTTGGAACTGTGCCAGAAACTGTAGAAACCTACGACTTGACAAAACCACAGCATTGTATAAAATATTCTATCCATTCAAACACACAAGGGTTCGCTTTATTTTTACCTACATACATACATACATATGGTATGTATTTAAGCTATATCTAAAGTACAAATATCAACAAGCGATTGTGTAAATTATTAAATAAAATGAATGATGTCATTTTGAGCATTAAAAACAATAAACATGCCGCCTGTTTGGTAATATATTGTTAAAACATTTGCAACATATTTTAAGATTATACGCTTAGCAGGCTCTATATTGTCAAAATAAGAAGTTAAAATTGCCGCTTTACATTCTAAATGGCCAACATATGTATGTCAGTACGTCTTTAAGGCTAATAAGAATTCTCTACTAAATAATGAATATCTGCTACAACTAGTAAGTTCTTGCGCTTTAAAAAGCCTGCTTTATGCAAATCATTTGAATTTCTGGCCGTAGCTTAAATTGGTAGACAAGGTTATATTCGCGATTTATGCCACATAAAAATAGTCCAATATGATTATCATGAAGATAAAGTAGTACTAAATAGCTCATATGGTACGAGTTTTATTTATCCTGTTTTTTGGTCAAGTCGCTATCGTTTGAAAATTTCCGGCAAACATGATTGTGGCTTAGGTACTCACCCAAAGGCGGCTGCATAGACGCTATAAATACCAGGTGTTAGTAAACGCCAGTACTCGCCGCGCTTCGAGGTGCGTATGGCTTTGTCCTCCAGTCCTGACACCACAATTGTGGCATCCGCAATTGGATAGCCGCCCACGTCCTGCACCAGACCCTTAATACCGATATGCGCCTGTTTAAGCAGCTCCAGCAGAGGATGCTTATTTCGAGTCCATTCCTCGGGCAAGGTGCTCGCTGGTGGAAATTTGCAGCAGCTCAACTCAATGGTCAGCTCAAAACAATTGGTGAAGGCATAATTGAAATCCTGCATGCCCCCAGTGAGTTCATACCAATTGGCTCCGTTGGTAATGCCACCGGCGAAGCTGTCGTTACAATTGTTGCCTCGTCTCATGATCGGATGATTGTCCGCATATGTGTGCGCCAGCTGCTTGAAAACGCGATCATCGGGCGTCAGACTCTCCTCGCAGCACTCATTATGGGCACTAAAGAGACGTAGATGTAGATGTAGGACATAGGGTACATTCCTGATGCCTAATTTTAGTTCAAGTGAGATCCACTTACATGGAATTATCGTAGGGATAGCTGGCCACAACGGCCCCACCATGAAAGTTCGCAGAAAGCACAAAGGGCTTGCTCACAATCCATTCCGCCAGCGCTGCCGTTTCCGGTTGGCGTGTGGAGGCGCGCAGTTGATTGAGTTGCGGCACCTCCAGACGATCGGGAAAGTCACGATTGAGATCCACGCCAGCAGCATTGCCGCGACCAACATAGTTGGGCAATGATTCGCAGCTGCCCTCCTGCAAATGCCAAAAGTTGAAGTCGGTGAGATTGATGATGGTATGAGCGTTTCGCAATATCTGCGTAAGTCGATAGCTTTTGTGGTCTGAACCAACTCTGAACAACTCTCGCTTTCAATGCAGCCAATGCGGCTGAACGGGAACAGGAAAATTGACATTCAAGGCGGCGCGTCAAGATAAATTAACCAAAAACCCCAAAGAAAAATAAAACCAAATAAACCCCTTACGCACAATATGAGTGAACGAACGCGGGCGCTTTTTATAATTTGGCATGACAGTCAGGTTGATCGCTGAATGGTTCAATGCGTGGCTAAAAGATATTACAACACTGCCCCCAAAAAGCCAAGTGTGGGGTAAGAGAAAGGTGTGTCCATGCATAAGTTCGCATACATATTTATGTTTGTTGGTATATATGTATGTACATATGTCTCATAGTAAAGTCCGTAAGGCCATCAAATAAATTGCGCACAATTATGCGAAACTAGCACAAGTTCTAAAATCTTCAATCAACTGCCAACACTTATCAATCGCAACAACCCATCAACTGCGAACGCACATGAACTTTACACGCTCCCCCACCTCCGTCCCCATTACCGAATACAACACTCAACTCTGAAACTGAAACTGAATCTGAATCAAATACAAATCAAACCAAACAAAGCTGCGCAAAAAATCTACATCTATCGTCTATACTATAGCAAGTTAATTAAAAAAAAAGAAGAAAAAATCGCAAACAAGTGACGCTGCTGACACACTGGCATGTACTATGTATATGTATGTGTGTGTACATCCATATGTGCTCCCTAATGGTCAGTCCGACGGCCGCGTATTTCCAGTTCGAGTTCCATATGCATAACAATGGCAGCAACAAATTTTATAGACAACACGCAAAGTCAGGCATCAAAGTATAATAATAATAATATGTACGCGTATAATGTCAACGATCGGAAGCTGTCCAAATGTGTATGCCCGGCCAGCGCTTAGCTGGGTAACTAGGCGGGACGGTTGGGCGACTGGGGGAATGAGGGACCAATTAGTTCAGCCATTTCATTGAGAGTATTTAACACTTGCTAAATACAAATCTCACGGCATAGGTACGCACATACATACACACGTGTTGAGGGACCCATATAATAGTAAATTATATCTTGATTGAGCCGATGTAGAAAGTCGAAGCTGCGCTCTAGAACTACTTTTAGAAATGAGAGACAGGGCAATCAATTAATAATATTCTCCATTGCAATCACACGAAATACCCATAGTATTTCATACGTATTTAGGGACCCATATAATAGTAAATTATAGCTTGATTGAGCCGATGTAGAAAGTCGAAGCTGCGCTCTAGAACTACTTTTAGAAATGAGAGACAGTGCAATCAATTAATAATATTCTCCATTGCAATCACACGAAATACCCATAGTATTTCATTGCTAACTAATTGGAGAGGCCTCTACAATTTGGATTACTATACGAATACATACATACTCGTACATTTAAGAACCAATCACTGCTGCTGCTACGACAAGCGACTAATCTGACTGAACTAGCACACTGACTGTACAGCAGAGGTTGAGATCTGAACCGACTGGTAGAGGAGATAATTAGAAGTGCTTAAGGTTTTGAATTGGTAGATTTCTATTGGCATAGCTCTAATAAAAAACCCCCCCTTCAACTAGCTTTAATTGCGACATGTGACTGGAGCTTGGGCTTTTTATATATCGCATATTCCAAACCGAACATATGCTCCCTCATTCCAAATTTCATTCCCATACTGTTTGTTGCACATCTAAGTACTTGTAAGTATGTATATAGCGAGAGGTCGAGCTGTGTTATCTGATACGAGACACCCACTCATAGCCCTATTATCAGCGTTATTAGCACGCACACCATAATAATAGGGAGCAGAAGAAACGGTAGCAGAGATTGGTAACACAAACTGTCCCAAATGGAATTTTTATATTTGAATAAATATTCTGACCGATTTCTGCCTGCTGCAGGCGTGCCATTGGGCGCAAGTGTCGTTAATTAAACTTTACGCGCTAGTGCGCTGCAGTTAGATGCGGTAGCACAGCAACAATATAAATACAAATCAGAAATAGAGAGAATGTTGCAGTCGAGTCGACAGTGGAATGCCCAACATCTGCATTCAACATCCACTGCAGAAGTAAAAGTAAAAACTAATCTATTGATGAACGTAAACTGATTTCAATAAAACCTTTTTTTAATGATGTTGAAAGTAAAGGAACTCACATATAGATAATTTTTGGGTTATATACGGGTATGTATCTTTTTTTGAGACGGATGGACGATTGTCTCGTCTTGTCTTTATGGGGTCTGAGCTACATTTACACAAATCGAATATAGCTCTTTTTCCCACCCATTACAGGGTATTAAAAGAGCGAGAGAGAGAGCCAAAGAGAAAGGGGAACCGTTGTCAAACCTAACGCAACGGCAACGAAAGTGTGGCGGCAGTAAAAATATTAAATTAGAGACTCGGGCGGGTTGGAAACGGTGGACCGCTGATTGCCGTAACTCCCCAACTCCCGCAACTCTCTGCCATACTGTGTGGGCGGCTGTGCGTGTAATGTGACGTCGATGGCAGAAATTTCACACTTATTGATTTTTCCAGCAAAGGCGCGACGCGCTTACGGCGATGCCGACGCTAACAGGTGACGACAATGACTGCTTTTGTTGTTCCTGTTGTTTTAGTTTTCGTTGTTTGTGTTCTTTTTAGCCACAACGACATTGATGTTGAAGATAAACGATGTTGGGGAGGGGGAGGGAATGTGTGTAGACATACCTGCGAGAGTGCATAGCCATCGGGGTTCATGGTAGGCATCAAATAAATGTCCGTGCTGTTGACCAGCTGCGACACCTCGAGGCTGCGGTCGTAATTGGCCAGAAGATATTGGGCCAAATAGACGAGCAATTGGCGGCCCACAGTCTCGTCGCCATGCATGTTGCCAATATATTTTACGGGTGGCACCAGTAATCCTCGCTGGCGAGTGGTGCGTCCAATTTGCAGTGCCAGCAGATTTCGTCCCTCCAGTGAGCGCCCAATGATGTGAACTCGCGCCTGGTCCGGATAGACTTTCTCCAGGCGTGCAAAGAGGTCCTCGATCTGCTCCTGGCTGGAATATTGTGGCTGTTGCAGAAAACTCTCGTCCTCTTTGATGATGTAGCTGTACATTGGGGCCACCAGAATTGTCAGCAGCAATGCCAGCATGGAGAACATGCCCAGTTGCTTGATCGCTTGCATTGTGGCTCCTGTTTACCGTTAGGTTCCGCTACAATCGTTGCTGCTGCCCAGCTCGTTATCACTTGCGTGCAAATTGAGCGAGCGCTCCAGTTTCCAATTTCAAATCCAATTCCAATTCTGTGTTTGTGTTTTCGTATATTTTGTCTGACTTTGGCGGTTACAAAAACAACAAAAAATCTCGCACTCCAAGCGCGCGCGGCTGTTGCCTGCCTTGCCTTGCCTTTCCGTCTGTCAGCGCTGTGCGATGCGTGCGGCCCAGCAGTTCGGCTTCAAAAAATGTACTGTTTGAAAATTTGCTGCGTTGATTGGCCTAAAGCCCATGCTGCTGCCTGCCTCTGACTCTGCCCATGGGTAGAAACAAACACAGTACGCCATTAAAGACTGTAACATTTTTACTCCTACTGCGCAAGTACGTCATAAGATGCTTCGACTAAGCCACATGAGTGCGTAAGCGTGCTCTGTCCCTTTCACTATATGTTTGGCATTTTAATTTCGTGCTTTCTTATTTTAAATACGTAAACAAATGGCACGCGTGACTGTAGTGCGCGAAGTTTGGAAATGAAACTTTTCCAACACCAAATACCGATATTTTTTTTTTGAGTTGAACTGCACACTAAAAAGTCACATTGTGGCACCGGAGCACTGTGACGTCACATGAAGCGAACACCGAATACCGGACCTGCGCACTGGCATACCGTGTTTGCTTTTACCATGGTCTCTGCTTGCTGCTGAGAGCGCGAAGCGCTAATTGTAGGGAAATTACACGCCAGAGAACGCCCGTCGGCTGCTCGAGCTTTGCAGTCACGAGTGCCAGATACTGACGACGACTACAACAACGACAGCAACAACGTTGACGTCGTGTTTAAACTCAAATTAATTGCTTTTTGTATGATTTACAATTAAAATATTCGTTTGTTTTATATTTTCGCACTGCGGCACTCTCTTGCCTATCCTTCCTTTATTTTGTTGCCAAAACACTGTTAGCATTAGGGGTTAATTATGTGTGGGTGTAACTGCGTTGCCAGACTGATTGTAGCTTAAGCGCGCATTTCAATTGGAGCGCGCAAAGGGCTTTGACACATAAAGCCTGTTCAACAATAATCTGATTGGCCGGGGACTGCTACTCATCTGAGCTTTGACAGATGCCATAGCTTACGAGTAAGAATGTATGTATATAAAAAATAATGTAGTATTGAACTGTGGCAGACAAAATAAAGTTGTTGTCCTATTTATTTTATTATATTAAATTGCTATTGGGTACTGGCTATATTTCAATACATCCAATATACAAATATAATGAATGAAGCTAACAGCATCGTTTGTTAATTTCTAATGTGATCTCAATAGTTGATTGATTTATAGTTATAAACAGTTTAATATTGCCACTATAATAAATTAATACACTATATGGTTATTCCTGATTGTTGCTTAAGATTCGATTTTGTTTCAAATAAATTAATACTTTTAATTTTGCTGAACACCTTTAATGATAAGATACTGCAAATGATGGATGTATATCTTTGAATTCGATATATACAAAACGCACAACGAATACCCTTTATTTAATCTTACAACATACATATGACCGTAATACAATGATACTGAATGTTGTATTAAAAAATGTTGTCCAGGAAAGTTAGTCATACTATGAAGAGCTCTATACAATTAAATAGATGATCTTGCCTGGTTTTACCTATTTATCTATATTTAAAACTGCCGAGAATTGAGCTATCTATTGCTAGTTTTCAATATTCCAGTAGAGGACCTTGTACTACGTCATACACAACTATTGCTCATAAAAGGTAAAGGGCGCCTCCGCCACTATGTGGCAACGCTTGAGCGTGCGCCTGCGCCTATTGGGAGCCAATTTTAGAGCGAATTATGTACATATATTACAGCATTACAAGGCACGTCAACAGTTAAGGATATTTTTAGCAAATAAGCAAAACAAAATACAAAAAAAAAATCAATAACTGCCGCCTTTTGTGACGTCATACAGGCACATTGTCGTCATGAGCTTAATGCGTGGGTTCGTGGGTTCAACACCCACACACCCCGCGTTATTAAAAAGTTACTTCTAACAAATACACACATACATTTGCATGTATGTATGAATGTACTTATCATTGGTTGCTTATCAGTAACGTAAATTCCCCGCACAACTGAGCTGAATGCCAAAGTTAACCGTTATCAGCTGCAATTTATTCGACTTCATTTAAAAAGCGTTCAATACAAAAGCTTACAGTTGCTTTACTCCATTCAGCGGCACACGTAAATAAAGGCAGTATAAGTAAACATATGTACGTATGTACATACATGTATGCATGTATGTATATACATATAGTACGTATGCATTTAATGTACATACGAACGAATAAGCAAAACACAAGACGCGGTGTCAACAAAAACGCTCGGCGGAAATTGCACGACACCTGGAACCCTACAAAAAAACACAAAGTAACTAAAGTGAGGCAACAACAAAAACCGGTTGCAGACAAACAGACACAAATTGTTTCAAATGGCGCAAAAATTGCAAGAAAATAAGAAACTGCAGCAACAATAACAACAACTAACCAGTTTCTTGTAATGTAATTTTAATGCCAATAGTACCGACATTGCTGAACATACATATATACATACATACATACTATATGTATACACATACATATATACATGTTTTTACATTTTTCTTGCTCTTGTTAATATGCACAGAACAACTACAGTTGGCGCTCACAAATTAAAACTTTAAAACCAGAATGGATTGCTAAAGTCGAGCAGGCCCAACTTTTAAATACCCTCTACCCACTTCCACAAACAAACAAAAATCATAACAATATTTCGAACAAAAACCACAAACTTGTCCTTTCTCAAACTTAGAAGAAACTGGATACCAAGTTTTGTTACTCAAGCTTTGTACTTTTCGATATATGTATGTATAACCGATCGGTGCAAAAATCAATCAATAACCAAATATTTTTTTTTGCTTATTACGATATAATATCTAAATTAGGTATCTATAAAGTTGTGTAGTGCCTCTCTATAAAATCTGAACTTGTAATAAAATCGATAAACCATATTATTTAACTTCCATATCATCCATATGTACTAATCAATCGGTGCAACAATGTTTTTTTTTTTACTCGTTTTTTATGAAGTCAATATATACATACATTATAACTAAATAGTTAAGAAAGATAATTTACAAAAAAAAAAAGATCTAATAACGCCTCCGATAATCAAAGATGATTTTGCTTCAAATATTTCGTTCAAATTAAACATTTTGTTGATTAAACTTTAAAAATTATGGTATTCTTACTGAAGATTTGAATATGTGTAGAACGAATCTAGAATATAAATTTAACGGGTTTTTAATCCCATTAAGTATTTGGGAACACTCATGTGGTTTTTAATTTAATGTATTTTAAGAATTTTTCGCCTCAATTTAAAAATTCTCTCAATTGGGTTTTACAAAATAAATGACCATTCATCCAAAAATTGTTGCTTGTTGAGACCAGAAGTGATAAATTACTCATATGATATAATAGTTTTGCAAATATCAAATAGAGTTTCTTAAAATTATAAAGAAAAGAGAAACTTGTTGGGGTAGCTATTAATTTCAATCCATATCTCTAATTACATACGATTTTTTATATGTGTACGACCAAGCTATAACCAATAGATCTTTTATATAGCTACTAGCAAACTCTTATCTTATCAAGCAAAGGTATATAACATATAGAATGTACTAGATTTCGGATAAAGACGCACAATAATGCATTACAACGTAATGTCAATAATGAAAACTTTTTTCGCAGAATTTAGTTAAATTCCGGACTTTTCTGGAAACCTTTTTCAAACAACGTACACACCAAATGCCAAAGATTTCAGCTATTTACTGCCAAAGAATATTACATTGCAGATGGACGGAAAACCCATACACATTTGTTGCCTCTTTTTTGGTGTTATAATAACTGGACGATTTTATAATACCTCTTTCACGTATGTATCTAACATATAGAGAAAAGAGGAATGCAGATTCATAACAGGGGTCCAATCACAGACCACTGCTTGTTGGCTGCCTATGCCAAGAAACTGAACATTACACCAGACCCAGACCCAAAACGATAAAAACACTGGAACATCTCCTATACGAATGCCCAAACACTCGTATCATCTAGAGAAACGCTTTCCCAACACAGCAGTATGCTGACTGGTTACCTAAATACTCTCAAAACTGATCTGCAACACCAGACACCACTTGGGACTGCCAACGACGGTCCACCGGGATGACCTAATATGATATATTATGTTATGATATATCGAACACAGAATATATTGAATATATTTTAGATATTTATTAAAAGGATTAATACAGACGCGCAACGATGTGTTTTCGTGAAAATTTAAAAAGAGCTATTATGACAGTCATAATATGTGATGGACGGATAGGACACGATATTATAAGCAAGTGTATAGGTTTTTAGACCTTAAAGGTCTCTTTAATGTTTTCGTTCAACAGCATTGTTTGTCGACACAATTGAATAAATAAACAAACAAAAATATGATTAAATTAAATATATAGTACTTCTTTTGAAAACCACGATAAGGAACATTCTTGCTCTCGAGTTGAAATCTTTACCTCTCGTCAATTGTTCTTTCAATATCATTGCTCTTACCGCTGATATTACAGTGTTTGCAAAACAAATCGTATATCTTCATTCTTTATGTCTCCAACTGACACCGATAGCCCTATTGGCAACGCCCATAAACACGCCCCAGCTCGACCGTGACACACTAAGTCGCACTAATCTGCCCGCGTTATAATTTGTAAAGGCACGCCAAAAATAAATAAAGACAAACAAAACTTTGAACAAAGCTTTAACTGCCCATTAATAGTCACTAATAAAGGCCAAGATAAACAAACAAATAAACAGGCATAAACACAAGCAAATAGACGAAAGAGATTAAAAGTGTTGGGAGCGCTTCGAAAACACTCAACACCCGCACACCCCCAGAGATAAGAAGCAACAGGCAGATAGTAAACCTATAGTATAGCCCGTAGCAAAGATGTGTCCACAAACTGCTAAAGAGTGTCATGTGGAGGCGACAACAAACTGTCTCCATGAACTTGAACTTTACTATTTAGAGTATGTGTAACGATGACGCCGACGCTCAGCAAAGTCTGCGGCAAGCCGATTATCAAGTTTTGGACGAATCGGCGGCGTTGAGTGGAGTCAAGTGGACAGAAGATATGGAAAGTGAAGGCTCGATTGGTACTTCGAGTGAGCATTGATGAGCACTCGCGTGTTGGAGAGCCTCAAATTGGAGCTACTGGTAAGTCATTCTAATGATAGTAATCTATGAATTGATATTTAAATTAAATACATCGGCAGAATGCAGTGATATTTAATATTATGATTGTTGAAGCGCGATCTTATAAACAGTGTTGCAAATCTCTGTGTTACGAGTCTAAATAAAACGAGTTCTTTAAGTTTACTGACCAATCGAAAGTGTTCCAATGAATGTTATGTCTCCAGCTTACGCTATTTTAGACATGTATATATTATCAATAGTATTGGCAGTTTTATGGAGCAATCTTGCTAGCAAAACCAAAAAGGTGCAGTTTTGCTGATCCTAGACCCCTTTAAAACAGTCATGAAAGTGGAAAACCGAGCATTTAAAATAGAGAATTTTATCCAAGTGAGGTCTGGTTTTGGAATAAATAAAATAAATAAAATCAAGTAAAGGCAAAGTTTTGAAAACTCTTAATGTATTACTTTGAAGAGCTTTTCCGAATTGTTAAACCAAGTCAAATAATAATATAAATTAATATCAGCTAATATATTTTTTTAGAAATGTTATCAGCTAGTGTAAATGTGTATATAAATACGCTATATACATGCAAATGAGCATTCCATGATACAGCAGTTTTATGGGAGCGGCTACAAAAATGGTAACACTGTCATATCATTTACTTAGACTTTCTTCTTAGCCCACAGTATAAAAAGCACAAAGCTTCTCTGACTATTGTATTTCATAGCCTTCACAAGATTATTGAGCTGTGAATCATGGGCGACAGAAAAACACAAATACGGTATGTGAACTACTTGTATATATGTATGTATGTATGTCTGTATGTGCGCCAAAATACACTCACTGTGGCCACCAGCTGTGTTCGCCGCTTCAACTTTCTTCAATTCGAAAAACAGACTTAAAAGAGATCAGAAAACCACTTACTGCTACAGCTATGTATGTACTTGTATGTATGTGTGTTTGTGAATTTGTGTGTGTATGCGGTAACAACAAGAATATTGAAAGTGGTATTGGCAATTGTTAATAACTTACTTTAGCAGCTGCAAAGCCATCTGGATTGCAACTTGGAAGAAAATGTATTTCCGTTGTGTTGAGGAGGCTCTGAACTTGTGGATCTGTGGAGTAGCTTGTGGCCAAATATTCGGCCATGTAGAGCACAATCTGGCGACCCAGAGCCTCATCGCCATTGATATTGGCCACCAGTTTGACCATAGGCCGCAACAGATCACCCGTCGCCACATCAGACGGAGGTGCACTCAGCGCCAGGGCGTGCATGACGCGGCCCTCTATCGTGTGGCCAATGCTATAGGCCTGCGCCAGATTCGGGTAATCCTGGCTGAGGCTCTTGAACAACGTACCAATTTCTGAATTGCTCAGATAGTGGGGATTGTCTAGAAAGTGCTCGATTTCTTTCACAACTGAGACCTGTGCTGTTGCGGCACTATTGATTTCCGCTGCCGATCTTTGGCTCGGACTGGCGGTTGTGGTGTGGGCGGTAGCTGCGAGGTACGTCACCACGACGACGGTGGCAACGATGCTGGCACTGCAGCGTTTCGACATTTTGACTATTTCGCGACTGCGCGACACGTAAGCAAGAACAACGACCGCGACACAGGCGCGCGCGCTCAGTGAAGGGAACGACAGAAATGCTGCAATGCAACAATTATAACACCTGTTGCACAATTAATTATTAACACTTTTTGAAACACACATACAATTGGTATGCTTAGCTATTATGCACTGATCTTTTATACACTGCACTTTAACACACAAGAAAAATAAACACACGGATATGCTCGTTATATTCTAGTTTTAATGGCAATACCTCTGTTTGCTTTCTTTTGCGGTTGAGCTGGCTTGCTGACGTGCACTTCAAGTGCCGCTATTTTGGCTTGATTTCTGGCTCAAACGCTCACTGAACTGCACTGCGTTTGCATTTGGGTGCCACACAATCACAAGTGGCAACAATTGAACCGAACATAATAATAATGGAACATGCTAATGTTACACATATATGCAAATTAAACAGCTATTGTGGATTACTACGCAGCCGCGAACAACAAAACAAATGCAGGGTCACTGGCTAGCGGTGAGTCAGATGCAGCGATAACAGAACGGAGCACAATCGATAAGCAAATTGTGGGAGCCTATCGCCTTGGAGCTAACATGGTTGCCATTAGAATCGCCCGCCAACTGCCAGTCGAAATTAAAATCAAAGTTGCTCTGCGCGCATTTATTGTGTTTGAATTTTTTACTTCGTCTTATACAATTTAATAACAGTACGTACATTTAAGTTGATTTATTAAAGACTTGCGTCACAGTTTTCAGTGCAGTTTGTTACATGTTTTAAAAATGGGGTAAATTATTGCTAAGAATATGTGTACGTTTTGTGCTTGGTGTACATTCATATACGTACATATTATTGTACCTAATTATAGGTGATAAATGTAGACATTTTTTATTCTTTTTCAATTTTTAAAAATAAAAGCATGATCGAAATATACTGCTATAACAACCGATTTGTGTATATGCAACATTTAACAGCCATCCAACAAGGACTTAAATAATATTCGGTATAAAATAAATTTGCTTAGTACAATCATAAATGAAACAAAAAAGATGAGCTTGGTTATTTGTCATTGTTATTGAAATGATATTCCTAAGTTTAATATCAAAACTTGTACATATGTGTATCAAAAATTAGTATAATACGGTTATTAGTTCGTATATATTAAGGCAAATTTGGAAAGTGCATTCTCTTCAAATGGTATCAGACATTCGGTTTTGCTTTCTAAAGTAGTAGAAGTACTTTACGGCAAGTACGCTTTTACAAGTGCACGAGCATATAGTTTGGATTCTCCTTCATTCACTCTGAGCTGAAAAAGCCCCAAAAGATTTGTATTTATGCTATATAATTTGATTGTTAAACTTCGTAAAAAATGTTCCAGGATATTACGAGTGCAAGCTCACGAGGTGGCTGCTATTTGACACGTTTTAGTACACACGTATGTATATGTATATGTGCATACATATATTTGTATGTTGCTACAGATTTTGTTTTTTTTTTCTTTCATTTTTTTGTTTGTAATTTTTTGTGTGATTGGCTTTGACTCTTACAGGAAATTAGGAACGAATTCAAGCAGCGCTAAGCTGTTGTATGTGCATACAAGTATTCATATCTACATGTATATAGGCTTGTATGTATGTATCGGTGTATGTCGGCTTGTGTGGAAATATGCGTAGTGGCGAATACTAGCGTATTGAGGGTGTATTACCATTTTACATGGCCCACGCAGATCAATAAAAAGCATGCAAAATTCATAAACACAATTAACTTTGCGCCAGTGGGTGGGCATTACAGCGCTCGCGGTTTCAGGCCATTGGGCTCAATGGTCGCTGGCTGTCAGGGTCGTTGGAGTAGGTTGTTGCTGTTGTAACTGCTGCTTCTGCTGCTGCTGTTGTTGTGACGTCGCAATGCGCTTCTTGAGCATCTGAAATGTTTGTTGCATGCTGCGCATTTGAAAGCGTATTGATGTGCTGACGTCACGCTGCAATTGCTGCACTTCTTGTATGTCCTTGCGCAAATTCTGATACTCATTCTTCACCTCTGTCATGGACTCGAGCAGCTCAAGTACCTCCATTTCATCCATTTGCTCCATTGTTGTCTGGTCGAGGCTACGCTCCACAGCATGCAGCTTATGCGCCATCGTATAAAGCTGTGTGCCCGCATTCGCCACCTGGAGGAAGAAGGTTAAGAAGGTTGAGAAGGAGGAGCGTGTGACTTTGACATCTTCATCCATATATGTATGTACATACAAACATATGCATATGTATGTACATATGTACATATATTTGTAACAAGCTGTTGGCGGATTCCCATGTCGCACTTACCGATTTTTCCAAAGCTGTTATATCCTGATAGTCCGTCATTTTGCAAAGACGGTGACTGAAATTTATTTATAATTTTCAAACATTTGCTATTGTGCACAAACGAAAACAATTAATTACTCGATAGCGGATGCGGTTAGCGCAAATAAAAAGTGACGCTGCCTAGTTTTAGGCGCACATACACGCGCCTTCATGTGAAGTTCACTGCGGACTGGAGCAAGACTCGAATAGCGAAATCCAGTAGAGCGATGTGCTATTTATACGCTCCTGGTACAAAGGCGTACGCACACACACACACACACACACACACACACACTCACACACAGCACACGCCATTTTGACGTTTAGCTGTTCCGCTTCCGCGTCGCGCTGCTCACAACAAAATGGGAGAAGCAGCTGCGACTCATAGCATTGCCCGCCTATTGAATGTCAAAACAAACATACACGGACACTGCTCGGCTTTCTGTCTCTGCATGGGGGCGTTTGCGTGTGCTTGTTCGATATAGTCCTGCTGAATGGCAACTCTGCTAAGCGAAAGTATTTTAATTATGTTGACCAGGAAGCGGAAGTTAGTTGAAAGTTTGTTTATCTTGTGAAAAAGGGAAATTTTATAATACCTTGTATAGCCTACGGCTTGGCATGGAATTAAATCTTTAAAGGCAGGCTTTTCTTTGGATATAATGTAATGTTAGGAATATGTTTCATGTTAAATTGTATTCCATGAAAGGTGACCTTTTCTTTCGTTAACAATGATATAAAATATTCAATTCTTAATTAAATTGTTCAGAAATGTAGACAAATTTGAAAGATATAGAAAATTCTGTTCGTTTCAGTTAAAATAGGTCTATTGTTCCGGAACGAGAATTATTTTTACATAACCAGGACGAGCTTACTTAACTTCTGGAACAGTATACCTATTTTCTTTGTCATGGCAGCCTAACAATAAATCTTCCTTTTTTATATTTTAATGACGACTCCGATGACGCCATCTATCCAGTTGCCAAATTGTGACAACTGCGCCTAATTAACCCATGTTGAGTCTGTTATAAAATATATTAAGATCAATAGGTGTCTAATCATTAGACTCTAATGCATAAGTGTGTACATTTACATTCAAATCTTATGTAGTAGTATATGTACACCTACAAATATATATAATACATATATACATTTCTTAAATAAAAATTGGATCTATTTTTCTCCCAAAGGTTTCCAATTTGAATTTAAGAGCCTCCCTCGATTTCTTAAAGCAAGAAAATATAACAAATTCTTATTCCAAAATTGTATTTAAACCCATAAGTCTGTACTGGTCGATGGTTTGCATTCGCGCTGCCATACTGTTAATGTTATTCTTCATTTGCTTTGATTCTGCACCGGAGTGGCAGCCTTGCAGTCAATCCCGAAATATCGTTATCGATAGCAAATGGCTTGAGAGTTGAAAAGGAAAAACGATAGTCTGTAATCAATTTTACGCAAAACTGGTGCTAAATGTTGTTGGCCAACTGAACGAAATGATTTGTCGCCTGTGCCTAAACAATTTGGATGAGCAGAATGTCGTGCTACTTTTCGGCGCCGCCGAGAATGACAAAAACAAGACATTGCCGGAAGACTATTTGGTTCAACTGATATCGACACATTTGTATCTCTGCGTAAGTACTCCCATGCCCAACTTCAGCCCCGGCAACCCATGTTCATCCACTGACCACAATCAACCGCCCACCCGCAGCTTTCACGCGACGATGCCATTTCCACATGCATCTGCACGGACTGTCGTGCCCAGCTAGAGAGCTTTCACAAATTCTGGAAGTTGGTGGAACTCAAGCAGACAACATTGTGCAGTCAGTTTCTGGAAATAGACTGCGATGTTAATTGGTCGGAGGAAGGCGATGCCGAAATGACGGCTAACGACGAGGCTGACCCAGACACAGAGCCCAATGAAACACCACCCGTTGGCTTTGGGTATTTTATAAAGGAGGAGCCTGAAGTACATGAAGTGTTCAAGAACGATGCCAAAACGACGTCGCATAAGTTTCCCTGCATGTACTGTGAAAAGTCATTCAAAATGCGACGCTATTTAGAGGAGCACGTAGCCACACACACCGGCGACAGGCCGATTGCCTGTAGCTATTGCGACATGTCCTTCCGCTGTCGCTCCAACATGTACACGCATGTAAAGACCAAACACAACGAGCAATGGCGAAAGGCCCGTGCCGATCGCGAGTCTGCTAAGCTAAACACTAACAATAACATACAGACGCCCGCAAACGGCGATAAACCGTGTGTATTTATAGAAAGGGATGCAGCGGCCAAGTCGGTCGTCGCTCCAGAAACAGCAGCTATAACGCCATCACCTTCGCAGCCCGTGCCAGTATGGCAAAATGCATTGGCACCTGCCGAGTTGTTAGTCAAAAAAGAACTATCACCGGCCACAGGAACGTCGTCTAACCTGCCGCCATCTGTAAAGCTGTCCACGTTGTCGACTCAGAATTCATTTCTTAATGTGAAGCTGCCCACGCTGCCTACTTCAGCTGCGACTCAAAACGTGAAGTTACCCACTCTGTCTACTCAAAACATGAAGCCTACCTTGCCGGTGCTTGCCCCGGAATCGCAATCATCCGCACAACGACAGCCGGCTAAAGCCATCAAAATCGAGTCCGAACCCATGGAAGCAATCAATCTGACTGTGGCCAAGCCGACTACAGCCTGCAGCAAACGCAACACACGCTCCAATCGTCGCAAGACTCACTCACCGAAGAAGGTGCAGCATAACGAGCTCAGTGCCAATGAGGATAGCAATGCTGAGGACGCCGAAATGCACGAGAAACGCATCAAAATCGAACTGCAAACTTCCAAGGAGAACGAGCTCATGCTGGCCAATTACAATGCAGTGGCAGCAGCAGCATCCGCTGTGGCAGCAACGCTCAACAGTAATCCAACAGACACCTTGCAGCTACGTTTGCGCGCAAGCATTATACAGCAACAACAAGACCTACTGACAGCCATGGTCGCAGCGAATACAGCAAATTCGGGAGGCGCCTCCACAGCTATGGCGGCGGCAGCAACGCTCGCTGCCCAATCCAGGTGAGTTCTATTTCAAATCCAGGCCTTGCATGGCAGATCCAACAGTATATATGGATGTATATATGTACATACATTAGATGAGAGTCTGAATAGCCACTATACGTAAAAGTCGCTATATAGAATAAGATAGTGGCAGTTCCAACAGAATTTTGTATTTATCGCACAATAATCGAAAATTCTTTAATTTCCTCGTAAACAATCTACTTCTTAGAAAAGAGATTTTTAAATTTCAATATAGAATGTCTGCAGTGAGAGATCTTATTAAGGCTATGCGTTCTATTTCCTTTGCATATGAGCCTTTGTTTGTAAAAAGTCTTGAAAGATAATTTTCATTGAATGTGCGACTTTTTTGTATATAGTACTTTAACATTCTATATACACACGCAATGGGACTCCCATAGTTGCCAACCAAATTGTTTACTGCTGATTAAGCTTTTGTAAAACCAATCGATTTGCTTACGAATTTCTCGTAATGCGACACCGAAGCGGCAATAATAAAACAAATCGGTGTTTTCGTCTCTTTTTTTTCTGCCACATATCAAATAGATTATTTATTTATACGATATTTCAGCACTCCCGCATTGGATGCTGAGGTCGGCAGTAGCGCCTATACGTGCGGCATTTGTGGCCAGCATTTGCGCAATCAGCGTGCCCTCAACAATCACCTGCACAACAAGCATCCGACACAGCAGCCGACACCAAATCTGGAGGTGGCCGCCTGTGCCAATTGCGGGGAGCTGCCTGGCCAAAAGCATCGCTGCCTGAGCAAAGCCAAGCATGCCTGCGATGTGTGTGGCAAGTCCTTTAAAATGAAGCGTTATCTAGAGGTAAACAGCGGCAAGCTCTAAAAATTTCAATTCATTTTGTATTTTGGGAATTTTGTATCGCAGGAACACTTCGCCACACATACCGGTGTCAAGCTACACACCTGCGCCTTCTGTCCCACAGAGTTTCGATCCAAATCCAATATGTATCATCACACAAAGCGCAAGCACAAGCTGGAATGGGAGCGTTTGCGGGCTTCGCGCAATGCCGCCAAGTCTGGTGCCCACGAACAACAACTAGAGGAGTCGGGAGCAACGGCGGCGGTGACGACGACGACAAGTGGAGAGCAGGTCAACACCGGTGGTTCCGTAGCTTAGCACTCTTAACTCATAAACTTAAACACACACACACACAGACACAATCAACACTCATACAAATTCCTAGTGAACTAAGGCATTTTGAAATGTAACTTTTTGTTTCTTTTTCCACACATTATCTTTTCTCCTTTGAAAGCATTTTATTTTAATTGTCTCAAAAATATTTAAGGCAATAGCAGTAAATACTAGCAGATGTTTACTTTAATTTCTTTTAGACTATACTGTATATATTATATATTTTGTTCTTTACGGTCAGGCGCGAGTTCTTCAACATGCCTTAGACGTACATAAGTACATACTAGTAAGTAATGCGCTACTTAATCTCTAATAAAGGAAACTACCATGTTTGTATACTTCACAACAAGGAAGCATGTCAAGTCAAAGCATAAATAATTTATGTATCAATAAAAACACGCATCCAACTATGTACATGGATATATCTATATATCAATCTGCAATTCATTAAGGTAAACTATTGTTTTGCTGAGATGCTCGTCTAGTGCCTAGTCTTCCTCATTTTAGAGGTGGCTCTCGTACTATTATACAAAAAGATATAATGTTGGAAATAGATCAGGAATTATTAGATAATCTTCAGAAATTTCGCATGGTGGCCCGTAAGTTGATTTCTTCATTTTTAGGAGCTACATCTTTTATTACAATAATTACAATTAGTCTTCCTCATTTTAGAGATGGCTCCCATACTATTATACAAAAAAGATTTAAAGTTGGAAATGGATCAGGAACTATTAGATAATCCTCAGAAACTTCGCATGGTTTCCCGTCAGTTGATTTATTACAATAATTAGTAATATAGTTACGATCACCAGGGAAGATATATCTGTCATGAAATTCGATTTAGCGCTAGTTCTAGCTGGAGATTATGTTTTTTCATTCTTAAATACTTGATTCCTGACATTAATCATTTGGTAAGGTTTTGGAGGCTCGGAAGGTTAGCGAAACTTTCATTCTCTCAGCGCTTACAAAATATATTCTATATACGATTGTTTCAATGGCTCGTTGGAAGTATCAGATGCTGCCATGTGCATAAGGGATTGTTCTGTAGGCACCTTCTATGAAGTGAAAGGGTAGTTCAGCAAGTTACTACCTCTGGTCTAGAACAGTTTTGTGTGAAGGTGTAATAAGGCTGTTTTGATCGGAGATACTTGTATGTAAGTCCCTCTCTTCTGCAATTTAATATTTCAATGTTGCGATTGTTGAAAATGTTGAAATGAATTGCCAAATAAGTTTCGAGCACAAAGTAAACTAAAACAATTAATCCGAATACTTTTTAGAGGTAAAACTATTTCAATTCCGAACTGAATTTATCTTTTATGATTCCATTTCTAAATGAAAGGCAGTCTGTAATTTTCGAATAGTTCTGATTCCTATTCGATAGCAACTGTTTTAGTTTCCGAATGTTAGCGACAAGGTATTACTTTTTCTCTAAATATGTAATATTACATTAAAATCCTAATGGTTGGGCCGGCATTTCATTTTTCGATAATAGATAATCGCTAATAACTCCTATATACATGCCGATTCATATTAAAGAAGTAGAAGGTGTATTAATATTTCAAAACTTCACAAATTTATTCGTCGTTTTTATATACATACGAGTAAAAACTATGCCACAGGGATATAAAATCATACCACTAATAGTAAATAAGTAATAAAAAATGAGTCATTTTAGGGTTGAAATTAATGTATAGCTTCCAAAAAGTTGTAGTTTACATAATGAATCTTTAAGTTTAACTCTAGATGCGCGCATGTCTATATATATATATATATATATATATATATATATATGTATGTATATTTATATATATTTTTGTATATGTGTTGGGTGTGCAAGTTGCTGACGATGGAAGTAATGTAGGAGTGCTTAAAACTAGGCCAAAGTTCTGGCTGCCGTAGGCTGCTCCTCACTGAGGCCTTGATGCTTCGCCATGGAGTATGATGCGAACGGTCCCGGGTACTGGCAGTGTCTGGGGTAGCATCCCATCCCCATGCCCCAATTCTACGCACTACGCTTGGCGCTCTCAGCGTGCATCAAGTCCACTGATGGTACTGAGAAGACGAAAGACAGGCAGCCAAATCGTATAAGCGTGCCATGGGCCAGCACAGCGGATCCCTCCCAGGCGCCGGGCATCATGGGCGCAGGCTCGGCGTTCAGACACCGACAAGCGGGCTTCACAGCAGACGCCAACCTGTAAAAATTAAATGACATATGTACATAAATCCTAAGAGAATCCAACAGTGGCTGAAATCTGACGCTTCGTCAGATAACCATCATTTAACCATTTTATGCATAAATTATGTGTGCAAAGTTTGGTCAATGAGGCTTTTGTGTGGACGATATTGACGAAATTCTGTAGCGGGGGAAGTGGGGGAAATTCAAAAAAGTAAAATAAGCTCGTATAGACTAGGAACTAGGATGTAAGCTCAACCGTTTCCGAAATCCAGGCTCTCATCCAGACGGACGGGCGGACGGACATGTCTAGATCGACTTCTTTCGTCATGCTGATTCAGAATATGTATATATACTTTTATGGGGTCGGAGATGCTTCCTTCTGCCTGTTACATACTTTGCACAAACCTAATATACCCTTTTTACCCTTTAGAGTATAAAAACTTGCGTGTGATGAATCATCGAACCTGCTGAATCAAAAATTATAAGCTGCGGAACCATAAAGACATTTGGACCCTCAAGGGTTATGCTTATAAGGGGACTTAGGTCGAAACAATTAATATTTCCGGTTTGGTGAACATATTTATCTGGATTTAAACAATTTCATTCCAGAATTTACTTTAGTTCGCTTAAGCTTCCTCCATTTTTCTTAGGATATGTAATTCTTTAAATTGGCCGAATTATGCTTATTGGCTTTGTTTTCATTTGCGGCTGTGGATGTTTCCCTCGAAAAGTTTAGCTTACCTGGCAGTCGTGTCAGACTTGGGCTCATACTGGCGCTGTATGTGGCGCCGCTTGTCCAGCAAATCGTCAACGCGACGCTTCAGCTCCGCATCGTCAGGTCTCATGCGCTTGCCACCATACGCAGGTGTTGCATGATCTGTAAAGTCGCATGTGTATAGCTGTCCATTGACCTCAGTGCCGAATTCTGAGTAGTTAATTAGCTCATAGGACTTTGAGTACTCATCGTAAAATATGATTGCATGCTGGGGGGAGATCCGCGCGCAATATCCAATTGCTGACAGATCGACGGTTTCGGTGTGCGCCAGCGTTGTGGAAGGCGTGTAATGGCCGCCATATCCCACATATAACGTGCGGTAACGCATGAAGATTGATTGCTCCAGCCCGAGCGTTTTAAACCAGCGACTATCCTCGAGCAGGTCACCCAATGGCGTGAGCACAGCCCTCGCCCTTACTCGGCACTGTAGCAATTTGAGTTCAAGTCGCGAAGCCAACTCGTAGGCCTTCTCCGTGTCCGTCCGTATGCGTGGCATGTAATTCTCGGCGGCCTCATCGGCAGCTGCAATCGCCGCGGCAGTCGCCAAGGCGGGATGAAGCTGCAGCAATGGATCCTCATCGGCAGCATTGCCATTTTTCTGTGCCAATATCGAGGGAGTCTCACTGGTGAATAGCAGCGAGAAGCGGTTCATATCATCGGGTGAGAGTTCGTTTTGAAGAGGTGTGTGCACAGCTGGTGCTGTCGTCGTTGTGTGAAGCTCACGCAGCCTTCGAGCTGCCGTGCGATTCTTGTATTGTGTTACAATCTCCGGATATTCCTGGACCAGCTGCTGCAAACGCTGGTGGGCCAGCTTTTTAATAATATCCACGTCCAGGTGGCATAGGTCGCCATCGATTATGCTGCTTGCCGGCTTGCAATCATCCTCATCCTCTTCAAAGCTAGGTTCCAGATTGGGCTTAATGTCCACCTCGGCCACTTTCTCCTCCTTAATAGGTTCTGCGCCCCCGTTATCTGCATTGCACGGTGCCTGCTCGGCCTGCTCTGCGACCGGCGTTGTTGCCTGCGCCTCTGTCTCAGCATCCGGTGACTCCGTTTTTCTACCGTTCGTGCCGTTCAGCTGCTCGCAGCCTTGCTTTGTCGCATCCTCTCCTTCGACGCTGTCGGTGTCGCTATCAATGCCATCGAACTCTACATTGCCGTACTCCTTTTGTATCTCACGAAACTTGGCTCGGGCGCAACGCAGCGCCTCCAGATCCTTCAGCAGCGATTCGGTCACACTCTCTCGTGATATTTCTTCGACGGCAGTGGGCAGATTCTTGCGTCGCTTCACACGATCATAGCGCAAGGTTTGACGCATTGAAGGAAGCAGCGCAGGAGGATGTTCGTAGTGGTAGCGAACCATGGGGGGCACCTCAATGTGAGCACGTGGCCTGAGGCCCGTCTTCATGCGAAAGGGTGGATGGCGCGCGTTGACGCGACGAAAGAACTCCATTTTTACGCTCTCGTGGTCGACCGGCTGATGAAAACGATTCCAGAGACGCACACGCTCCGTTGCCGAAATACTTGTCGTCATATTGGCATCCTGCAAGAGAGCAAACCAAAACAAAAAAGAAGCATGAACAAGGCGTCCAAAAGCGAAGTCATAAACTGGGCACGTACAATGAAGTTTTCAACATGATTGGGGCACATCCACAGACCGGCGGGCAGCCCAGTTAGCGGTGGATCCAGACAATCCTGGTGATAGTAGAGCGGACAGTAGTCGCATGAAATGAGCGGCGCTCTTTTGCAGGAGCGCGAACAGTAGAAACATGTCTTGGCCGGCAGTGGCACCAATCCTTGTCCATCCAGTTCGAAAGGTTTGGAGTTACGCCTCTGGCTATTAAGCTTACGATTTCCATTGCCCGTGCCTGGGCCGTGCGTTGGCTGCACGGGCTGCACTTTACCATTGCCCGGAAATTGCGTGTGCAGTTCCAGTTCGCGCGGCAGTGAGAACTGCTGGGGATTAAGCATGCTAGCTGCACGTATAACATCATCGAGAGGCGTGGGTTTCTTGTTGGGATCGAGGGCTCGCTGAATGGCCAGCGGGAATTTCGACAGCATCTTTTCGGTACTGTTACGCTCGCTGTTGCTGCGTTTGCGCAAATTGCGAATTTTAAGTGGGATGGACTCCAGCTCGCCAGATGACGGAGTATTTGCGCGCGAACAGCTGCCCGCAGATGGCACACGCTCCACGGAGCTGGCTTTAGATGAAGAGGGTGGCTGGGAGACTTTGGCCATCCGGCAACTGTGACACAGCCATTGTCCACTGGGTATATCCTCCTCACTTAGGGGCGGATCGCTGCGAATGTACGAACAAGCCGCCGTTAATAATGCAGCACCAAAAATCAATTAACAATTATAGCGTCTACTTACTGGCACTGTAAGTGAAAACTGGATGGACAGCGGTCGCAACATAGCAAGTTACCGCCCTCCTCGCAAGCGTCGCACAAATCGTGGTTGTGTCCCCTGCCTGGGCGCCTATAATACGGATGTTTCGTGTTCGTTGTGCGCTGTACCAATTTCTCGTCCTCATTTGGCGGCGGTTTAATTAAAATCTTGATTTGCTGCAAAAGAAACAGAAGGGGGGGCGGGCGTTAGACCGAGCCAAGACTCGCAATTTTAGCACTGCTATCTGTATCTATCTGTGGCTGTATCCAATAAGGCAGAGCAGCAGCAGCATCGACAGCAGCAGCAGCGTGTGCACACTCAACATCTATTGCCGCGCTGGCCAATTGTGGCGGTCAAGCTGTGTACGTACCTCCATTATACTTAATGAAGCATTTGGATCTTGGTCCACCTTTGACATCTTTACTGGAGCTAACCGTTTTAAGTGAGTGGGTTTACAATTGTATCCGCTCGCCTCGTCGATAAAAATTGTTTGCTTGCTTGGTAAGTTCAGTGTTGGTAAACGCGACACAGGAGGCAAGAAGGCAGCTCTGCCTTGCACTACATAGTGTTGCCATTCATAAGGCACTTTGGAGCGTAGAGTCCATACATGGAACCAGTGTGACTGCATTTACAGCTGAAGATAAGCAAACCGCCTATTTTAAAATTGTTTAGTTTAGTTGTGTCGTTATTAGCAAACGCTAATAAAGCTATACATAACAAAAGTATCGCCATAACTTAATATTCCTCAGCTTATTGTATTATTTACAAAGTCGTTCTAATGTTTTCACTGTTAATATTTTTTGCATACGAAAAAGGAAAAGTGGGGCTACCTCAAGGCTAATTAAATTGATAAAGGGACTTTATATTTAACCAACAGCAACGTAAATTAAAGGATTTAATGAGCCAGGCCGTAGTACTTACTTTCGCACTCTGGCAACTTTGCTTGCTCAAAGTGTGTACACACTCAACACCGAATTATTTTTAATGTTCGTATTTACATATGTTTTGCACAATAACACAATAGAAAATCATAATAATACAAGCTTAACAAAATTCTAGCAGCTGCAGGAATGTTTTCCATTTTCGGCAAGAAAAAGCCATCAGAGCCACAACCTGATGACGTCATACAGGGTCCAGCGGACGCCCAAAAGCAAAACGGTGATGATTTCATATTCGTAGAACGCAAATCTGACGTAGTCGATCCGAACACAGCCACTGGAGGAGGAATATACCCGCCCATGCCCCCGGCAAGTTTCACCTCGCTACCATACCCACCGTCCTTAGGCCCAAGAACAGCAGCAGGAGGCGCCGCCCTGCCAATCAACTATCTGCAGGACATTCCATTCGAGCTGTCGCCACAATTGGCAACAAAGGACCGCTACATGGGCACGCAAATGCAAGTAGACGAAATATTGGCGCTTATGACGCGACAGCTGTCGGTGGACGAAAGCGCTGAGGAGTACACATTTGCCTTGGAGCGATCCGTACAGAATGAGTGCTACTGATAGCGAAGTCAACGAGTGTGATGAAATTGTTCATATATAGTTTATTTTATGCTTCATTGGAACGCCCAAATAGGCTGTATTGTCTATCTACTGTTAACTACATGTAAAGCAAGTTACTTTGTTTTAAATACATAAATATTTCTTAAGCACAACTAACAGTTAAAAAATATGGTGTACAAGAAAGCAACTCATCCCAGTTGGCCTTAACATTGTTGCTTACGCTTGTCAAGGGACTAGCCTTTTCGGTTCCTCATTCTGATTTCGTTCGTCAAAAGTTGAGCAACGTTATCTTAAATAAAAAATTTTCAGTACGCTTGAATTTATTTCGATAAAAGTCAAAAAGTAAATTTTCGGTAATATTTCCATTTCGGCTTTGCAATTATTCGCATCCCAACCCCATTTTGGGCAAAATTATTCGTTTCTCAAATTGAAAACGCCTATATCCTAAATCTACAACATGGCCAGTTCTAAAGATATCGACTGGGATGAGCCGCTGCCCTCTTCACCCTCCAGTGTGGAAGAGGAGCAGGATCCCGACGAATGCAGCCCAGATAATCGTAAGCGTCGTAAAGAGGAGAACATTACCATGTTGCAGTCGTATGTGCGCCGCATGGCCTACCAGCCGGCGCTCCCACCCAAGACCAAGCCCTATGATGTGGCCCTGGCGCAACCCAAAAAGTACACACTCGCAGATAACTATGAGCAGTTCAAGGACATTTACGATCCCAAGCTGCGGGCCAAGCGCCTCAAGCGCATGCTTGGCAAATACAATGCCATTACTACTGAGTAAGTATCTACAGAAATCTGAATAAATCCTGCCACCACCAATGACTGTTGTCGGCCTGCAGACAGCTCGAGCAGATTCTTAAGCAGAACAAGACCAAGGAGCGGCGCAAGGAGGACTTCTTAAAGCGCAAACAGGAGCTCTACTACACCATGCTCACCAAGCTGGAGCGCCAGTGCCGCACACAATATCTAAATGTCCTGATCAAGAAGTTCAGCAAGTTTATAGCTCATCTGGCGACCACCATGCGTATTCCCCCCCAACTTGTCGATCCCTATGCTCGCATGCAGCGCGGCATATTCTGTAACATCCTGCTGGCCATTGGAGTCCAGCCTACCTCACAGTCGGCTATCTACTATACCAGCCAGGAATCCATTGAGTACGACGTCTGCCATCGCCTCGCACACGCTCTCCTTAGTCTGATCATCAAGGCGCTGGACATGGCGGCCACGCGCAAGACCAACGAGTATGAAAAACCGGCTGAGACGGAGTTCGAGATGGACAACTATATAAAGGATCGTCTGATGTGCGCAGCCGAGAAGAAGCTCATGAACGAGCGTCGTCGCAACCGTAAAAAGAAAAGCCAGTCCTTAAACTACAGTGCCTTTCAGAAGTGCGAAGGTTTCGATTGCGCTGGCTGGGAAAATCAGATGTAGGATCCACGGCGCAGTTATTGTTTTCGTAATTCAAGAAAAAACATTTATTCAGATTTCCAAACACTTGTTGCAGACACATTTTGTAATCCATTCAATTGATTAAACACATTTCGAAAACATTCAAAGAATCGGATTTTGGTTTTCAAATACTTGGTTTTTTTCAAATTTAGAATTTTTCCAAATCATGTTTGTTTTAAAAGAGCACCTTTAAAAATAACCAAATATTGAAGTTTAGGAGTAGTCAGTGGGAATATTCTTTGCTTTCCATGGAAAGGGAACGAAATATCGAACCCAAAAAGGACTCAGCTTATGAAGTTTTCAAATTGTAATTGCAATTATGCAGATAGTCAGAATGTTTATTAAATTTGTGCCTTTCCTTGAGTTCCTTATACATTTTGCTTGTTAGTGTTTATTTGTTTAATTCTTCCTTTTAAGGTGAATTCCTGCAACTTTTTTTTGAGACATTATTAGATATTATTAAAATTACGTTAAATTTTCTGTAAGGTTTTCCCAGTTTTTAAATTGAAGTTTTAACGTAATTAAGAGTCCATATTTGTTAATTAAATGATAAAATATATAAAAAGCAACTTAACGAGTACCTAAACAAATGCTAATAATAATATATTTTATTATTATTATAATTATTTTTCGAATCGGCTGCAACACAACAGTTTTAACATTTTTTTATAGTTGTAGTTACAGAATTTCATGACTGTAAGTAATTTTTAAATTGTGCTAATACGATGATGGTAGCTCCAAGATTCGAACGTGGGATTCCTGCACGCTTATACTTGTAGTAATGAAAGAAAAATTCATTGTACCAATATTTTGTTGGTTTTTTACAAGTTTAATCCACGCTTTTCTCACACCATTAAGCTGAACTGATTATTATGGGAACAGTTTACTTCGATAGTCTTAAACACAACCACTTGGCGGGCAGCTCAAAATTATCTGCAGGATTAGCCGAATAGGTATCACAGCAAGGCATATGCCAGACATCGTTCAGTTTATGGGCACTGAGGTTAAAACGTATGGGTTCTTTAACCAGTATCTGGCCCGTTTGCGTCTGGGTGATCAGTGAGTATTGATGCTCCTGTTGCCACCGCCGAAATATTGGCTTTAATTCGGCGCCCAGCAGAAAGGCGTGGGAGCGCATGAGATCACGTGAAAAGAAGTCCGTGCTCTGGCCGCTTTGTAGTGTCGCATAAAGCAGAAATGGGTCGTCTTGAGATCTGTGAAGCACAAAAAAGAAGAGTGAATTAGGCAAACTTTGTCAATTACTCAATTACTTACAGATTGTTTGCCAAAAACACGCTGGCATTATTGTGTACATAATTCATGGCTGACTTGGACCAGCTCTTCATATGCTTGCGACCCAGGACAAGGACGTGTTTGCGACGATCTTTGAAATAACGAACGACATCGGCCACCTAAAGAAGGCAGCGATTTCAATAAATGAATATACATATATTTTATTGCGTTGTTCACTTACAAGCTTTGCCAGCTGGTGCGGCTGTTTCTTGGCTCCCGTGGAGTAGGCCACATTTAGTCCATCGATTACACAATCGTATGGCGCGGTCTTCCCCACAAACCGCTTGAAATCTTCCACCTCTGCGGGCGTGGACTTCTGGAAGACGTCGTTGCGGACGAGAACCTTGTTCAAGAATGAATCTCGTAGCTGCTTGAACTCTGCGTCGCTAACGGCTACATGTTCCAAGTGTTGCTTGCAGCTTGCGCACTTGCCCAGACGATCTAGACGCGTCTCTTGCGCCTGCAATTTATGTGGCAGCTTTTCTGCCAAAGCCAGCAGTTCTTGGACGACCTTATCGCTAATAACGATACCGTGCCGTCCTAAAAAATGCAAAAGTCTTTCCAGCTGCGCTTCAAATGCCGGCTGATCTTTGGCTATATGTTGTAGATACGCAAGATACACCTCACATCGGGGTAGCTTGCGCGCCAGCAACATTTCCTCGAGCAGGCGCCAAGCCAAAGTCGGTTCAGAGCAAGTAAACGCCTTAGCTGCCAGGACACTGTAGGCAGCCACACTGGGCGTGCTGCTAATCTTCATCATCTCGAGCAGTGGCTCTGCTTGCCGCCAATCTGTGGTGGCCACTAGACCGTGGATCATATGCTCGCAAGTGCTGGCATCCAAGTTGTCATGTGCGCTCTGCAATTTCTTGCACACATCCAGTACTTCGCGCTCTTCTGACGCGCAGAGTGTACGGGTTTGATAGGCGGCATTGTAGATGCGCAACAGACGACCAAGTGTGGCAGTGTTCGGCGCAATGCCCTGGGCTTGCAAATAGGCCAGGTAGTTTTTGGCGAGAGGCAACTGCTCCGCCCTACTGATCACGCCCAGTATAATGGCATCTACGTTGTGGGCACTGATGTGTTTGTAACTGTCGATGAGCGTGGTCCGTACGCCCTGCCATTCCTCGTGACTAAGTGCGTCGCGGCGCTGGAAACAATTGGTATTTAACTGCTCCAACTGATCAGGCGGCAGGGAGTTTAACTGAACACGTCGCTTGTGGGTACTGGCTAGTCGATAAAGTGGACGAAAGTCCGTCGTTGTTGCGCCGCGCAAATGACGCAACAAACGTAAGCTGTACATCATAATCCCAACGTTTGTTATTGTCCGGCACCTGTTGCCGGGAAATTAGAGTTCTTGATAATAAATCGGTATATCGATATTAAAGAATAGATAGCGATATGTCTAATTGTTAATAATGTCCACATTTTAGACGATATTTGTGTTATTGCGGAATTTTTCAGTTCGCAGAATATGCCCACATTTTTCGACATTCCATGCAAGCTGTGGAAGTTAAATTGTGTTTAACAAAAAGTAGCCAGCATAATATACATAAAATAAAAAAACCTATAACTTGTTTTATTTTAGAATGTCAAGTTACTTATTTATATATGCACTAATCTGTACCCAAATGTTAAGCCCGTGTATTAGTAACTGCGAATGTTTGTAATCCGCAGGAACATTTTAATCATGTTTAAATTATCAACATCCATGCAATCAAACGAAAACGGTCACATCGATAGCTAATTCAAACAAACATCGATTATTGCCTATCGGTGTTACTGTATCAGTATCAGCTGCTAAATTCCGTCTATCGTTTAGGTTTAAGTTCGGTAACTACGCAATTTACAAATTCCAAAGCCAACAAATAATACACGCGTGCAGTTGTCCGGTAGACATTAGCCAGTAAGAATCGATCCCACTTCATCCGTTAAATACATTTTTACCGTAATGCTGACATCGATGTAAAATGAATGCATTGCGCAACATTTTTAGTTCGCGTACATTGAACCTCCTGCGGCAGAATGGACAGAACGCGATCATTAATGCGACACAACAGCAACAGCCAGGCGCTGTTGGCGATCCCAGCTCGCCGCTGTCTGCGCCGGACAAGCTGAACGATAGCCTGACGACGCCGTTGTCCATACCGCGCTCCATACTTGATGCTTGTCGTTTTACGGGCAAACCCTTTGACTTTGGCAGAAACAATGCTACAGCAGTAGCCCCAAAGAAACCGCCGGGCTCACTGTCGCCCACGACATTAAAGCGCTTCCGTCGGATGCAACGCCGCATGGAGCTCGTCTATCGCTGTAAGCTGTGCAACACCCGCAACACGAAAACGATTAGTGAGGAGGCCTACTACAGTGGTGTCGTCATTCTTCAGTGCGACGGTTGTGCCGTTGACCATCTTATAAAGGACAATTTGGGTCTTTTTTCTAGCGGCGGTAATGGCGGGAAATCCATCGATCAGGTGCTCTCGGAGCGTGCGGAACGCGTGCGGGTCATTAGGGTGAACGAGCAGGGCGAACTAATCTAGTCAGACAGCGATGCAGTGTCATCGTGTCATTAGTGCTTCAAAATGCGCCAAATTTTGTACAAATCTAAGCCATGGGCTATGTTGAATGCTCAAAATGCCGAGGCCCATATCCATGAGCAATGGAATCCCATCAAAAAGCAAACGAATAAATCAACATATTGAAAAAAAAAAAAATCAAAAGTTGTTTACTCAGAATCTTATCTGCAGACTGACCGAACTCGTATTTGATTATTTTATTTACCACCAGTGTCTACGATATGCTAAGACGCCACGCTTGCCTTCCATATCTGATAGCAGCATATTTATAGATTCTCGTATCAAGTCACCGTGAGTCAGCAGAGATGCTTGGTAATTGCCGTGGATTTGCTAATCAAATTGGCCAAAATTTGATGCCCGACGGTGTGGATTTTAAATTGCATGCTAATCAACTGATGCCAGATGGGGCGTTTGAACACACGGGTTAATATTTTTCCCAGATTTCGCATGTGTTTTAGAAAATTTGCACATTGATTTGAACTTTGGACTAGATAGATACATAGATATGTTAGTATCTATACTTGTACAAACAACAATTCCACGAATTAATTGTTTGGGGCACACGCGTCTGCCGAGTGATAACCAGGGCCGATTGTTTCTAGCCGTTATACATACATATGTATGTATGTACATAAATGATTCATAAATGTGTTTCAAACCTAATCGCATCCTGACGTATAAAGTTATGTATGTACATACTTTTTTTTATCAATATTCTGATAAGATTTTTAGCGGAAATCTGCTTAGCTGGTCAGCACCTTATCGCGCGTTTGTTGCTTTCAGTAATTACTAATGTAGTATAGTAAGCAGACTGATTGAGGAATTGTTTTGAAGTGAATGTAGGATTTAAATCTTGCGTTTGCGCTTCAAGATTTTTTTCAAGGTTTTAATTTGCGCTGTTTATTGTTAAATTAAAGATATATACATATGTATACCACACGACCAGTACAACATTTGAATGCATATATGTATATAAAACTAGGACTTGAGATAAATTCTTAGAAATACATATATATGTAGATATTATGTTGTAGGTACATATGTACATACAATATTTAAATGATCGCAGCTCATGTGTTGTAAACAGGTTGCATGTCAATGTTCCATTGGAACATCGAACCAAGGCCAACGCTTTCCGAAGTTAATTTGGATAGGCGATACCGATTTATTGTTGCTATTGCTGATATCGATAGACAAGAGAAGATTATTTACAAAATTAAACAGAAATTACACCTCTAGACACAAACGACCGTTATATTAAGTATTTATCAATTGAGTGGGACAAATCTATGATTAGAAGAATAACAAAGTATCTCAGGAAAATAATTTAATATGCACCGGCATTTCTGATATAATTTGCACGATATATGGTAACACTAATGGGAGCTTTAGAACAGCATGAATGCTGAAACTGCTGACCTACCTCAACCAACCTACGGTAACCGTAGAATTGATATGGAATTTATCAATAAGCCAAAACTTTCTCCACAAACTTAGTTACTTTAGAATTGATAAAGAAATATCAATTGTTTGAAATATATTCAAGAAAAAGAAAAAAATTCTTTGAGATTATATAGTTTAGTCTTTATTTAAATATTTGTGAGCTATAGGTTGCTTTGCTAATATAAATATTGATGATTAATAATAATAAAATTATCTAGAAGTTGTCCTCATTTGACACAAAGTCGTTACGTATTTTCAGTAACTTTATCATGAGCTCGGCAATTGACACTTCCCCGTGCACCTTGTTATCTCGGGTGCGCACGTTCACCGTTCCCGAAGAGCGCTCTTTCTCGCCAACGACTAGTATGAAATTAAATTGAGCGAGCTGGGCATTTCGTATCTTCCTGTTTAGGGTATCGCCGGCATCGCAATCGGCCTCGCTCAAAAATCCAGCTGAATACAATAGCTGACGAACCGAGATAGCATAATCATCATAGGCTGGACCCACAGGCACCACCATGACCTGTCGCGGTGACAGCCAGAAGGGCCATTTGCCGGCATAGTTCTCCGTGAGAATAGCAATCATGCGCTCCACAGAGCCCATAATAGCACGGTGTATAATAACCGGACGTTTCTTTTCGCCATCGTCAGCAACATAGTTCAGGTTGAAACGAATGGGCAGCTGGAAGTCTAGTTGTATTGTGGCGCACTGATGCGCCCGCTTCAACGCGTCCATAATAGTGATGTCGATTTTTGGGCCATAGAAGGCGCCGTCGCCGGGATTCTCCTTCCACGGCATACCAAATTCGTTAAGAGATTCGGCCAGCGCCTTTTCGGCTGCATTCCACTGTTCCAGCTCACCCAGATATTTTTCTGGTCGAGTAGACAGGACTAGCTGGAAGGTGAAGCCAAAGATTGTGTAAACGTGGTTTAAAAAGTGTAAACAGCTGTATATCTCCTCCTGGATTTGTTCAGCCGCACAGAAAATGTGCGCATCATCTTGCTGGAAGCGGCGTACTCGTGTGAGTCCGGTCAGTGCGCCCGACAGCTCGTTACGATGGAGCACGCCAAAATCGGCCAAGCGAAGTGGCAACTCACGCCAAGAGCGATTACGATTATCAAATATTAAGCTGAAAGAAAAACATTTTATTTATTAAAGATATAACTTTGTCTTGCAGCTTCAAATTACCAGTGGCCGGGACAGTTCATAGGCTTCAATGCAAACTTCTCCTTCTCCACCTCAAAGGAAAACATATTTTCGGAATAGTGCTGCCAATGTCCCGAAGTCAGCCACAATTTGGCATTGTAGATATTGGGAGATATAACCTCCTGGAAACCACGCTTCCTGTACTCGGACTTGATGAAGTTGATAAGCGTGTTGTAGATGTGAGCGCCGCGTGGCTGAAAGAAGCAGGAGCCCGGCGACAATTCGTGGAAAAAAAATAGCTCCTGTTCCCGTCCAATTTTGCGATGATCACGTTTAGATGCCTCTTCCTGCAACTTTTCCCATTCCTTGAGCTGTTTGGCTTCTGGAAACGAAATGCCATAGACGCGCTGCAATGTCTCTGCATCAGCTTTGCCCTCCCAATATGTCGACGAGTTTTTGGTGATTTTTAGCGCCTTTACCTTACCGGTGTGACGCACATGCGGACCGCGGCATAAATCTATTAACGAACCGCATTTGTACACCGTAGTACGATCGCTGTCTACCTTCTCATTCAAAATGCGGACCTTGAACTCGTTATATTTAAACATTTCCAACAAGTCGGCCTTCTTCATCACCAAACGCTCAAAGGTTTGCTTCTCCTTCACGATTTGCTTGACCACACTCTCTATGGCACCATAGTCGTTGGTAGAGATCTAAAAGCAAAAAATGTTTATAAATTCTCTTTCCTGCAGCTTTTACTTACGCCTTCGCCGTCCAGATGCATGTCGTAGTAAAAGCCATTTTCAATCGGTGGTCCATAGCACAAGTGTCCACCGTAAATACGCTCCATGGCCTCGCCCATTATATGGGCAGAGCTGTGCCAAAAAACAGCCTGGGCTTCTGGATCATCGAACTTGAGTAACTGCAATTTGCAATCCCCTTCCAGTACCCGATCAAGGTCCCACAAGACGCCATTGACCTGGGCGATCACTGTATTATCAGCTAGGCCTTGGCTAACACCACAAGCAACATTGTATGGAGTGGTTTCCCACATAATGCCCTCCACCTGATTCCCATCAGGCAATGTTACTTTGATGGGTGTACGTGGCTTGCCAGCCAATTCGGCCAAATACTCTGCCTTGCATTTCTCCCAAAACACATTGCGTTCCTCTATGTACTGTGGCCATGGGTTGAGCTCTGAGGGGGACGATCAGTTTTGCAATGTGTGGATGATGTACGTATTTTATGGGGTTTTCGTTTACCTTTGCGAACAACCCCGTCTCCAGAAGCAGCTTTATCCTTTTTCATTTTGAACGCTTGTTAAGTAGATTGACAATAATAAATTAATAATCAAAAGCAATTCTCTTGCTGTTGTTTGAAGGGTGGAAACAACACATTAAGTTCGCAACTTGTAATTAGTCTTCAAATTGGATTGAAATTTTGAAGTTTTCAAATTTTTGTGTATCTATTTTGTGTCGTCAATTTTTCAACGGAACTGATGCAATATATATGCGAAATTTAACAAATACATCTAGTTAAATAGTGTCGCAAAAATCAGATGCCGGTTGTAATTATTTAATATATTTCGCCCACTTGTCAGCAAACATTTAAAACACAAATGCTGTTTTTGGACTATTAGATACAACGAAAGTTGTGTATAGCACCTATAGGTGCAGCCGTGGGACATGCGTGGCTATTGGTATTGTTGTTTTTGTTTTTCTGCCTGCTGATATTGCGTTGCAATTGAAGTTGCAAGGATACGAAGTGCGAAAAAAAATTTTCTGCACGATACAAAACACCAAAGGGTTCACGATATAAAACACCCATTTTAGCAAAACTAATTTGCCGACGGATTACTCAAATTCGTTGAGATTTTAACATGCCTTTTCTTAAATTGCAAATCAAAATTATTTATCTCCCACTAACGAGCTTTTTCCGTTCGTACAAGGTGGCTGTTGCGTTGGGGATGAGAAGCTGCAACAAAGTATAGTTGAAGAATGTCAACAATTAAAAAGTATCGGCCGATGTTTTGCCGATATCGATATTTTTGAGCAGGAGTTATAAAGAAGAAGAAGAACTTGTTCATTGTGGCAGCAAAATGAATACACATTCAATATAAATACAGCAAATGCAGTTTAATTTATGTGCAATGTGCGTTAATCAGCAGCTATATTTCAGAAAAATTAAGTAAGTGTATACGCGTACAAATACACGCACACAATCGTTCAGTAACAATGAAAACAACGACAGCAGCAGCAGCAACAACAACAAAATCAAAACACGATTACTAATAATACACTGCAAGCAAGCACAATAGTTGAAGCAACAACAATGGCATTGTTGGTAAAACAAGTTAAATGTTGTTGCTTTTGTATTATTGCTGTTCCCGTTCCCCCACACACATATTTCAATAGATAGTATAGTATGCAGCACCTGTGTTTGTTTTTATGTGTATGCGTGTGTGTATTTGTTTTGCGCATTCGTCATTTGTGTTTTAAAAGCTGTTTTCTGTATTTTAGCGATTGAAGCTATTTTTAATGCATAACAAAATCACTAGTTTAGAATCATCAACTTTCGCAACTCGCATGTCGCACATCGTCAGTTAGAGTCAGTTAGTCAAAATCTATTCGTACATGTGTACATTGTACATACATATGTATGTATGTTTTTGTATGTATGTATGTATGTACATACATATGTATGTACGAATGTTTGTCTCTGGGTTTGTTGTGCTTCAGTTTCAGGGTCAAAAGTGCAATAACGTGTGTGGTAATACATAAATAAACATAAATATATACATATATGTATACAATATATATTGTGAAGCGACGCATTATTTTGATATCTCACTCTTTCTCGTTCTCGCTTTCAGCACTCCAGTAATTAGCGAACAAACATTCCATGCACGCGCATTCCACAAGCCAGCAGCAACAACAAAAAGCAGCAGCAACCGCAGCCAAGGTCATGCAGCCATGCGACAGCCAAAAGGCTCAACTCCAGCCATGTCCAACCTGTGCAAGCTGTCTCTGCAGCCTAGCCCAAAACGATGAGCCCATTGTGGTTGCTCTGGGCCAACAATGGCACTGTGACTGCTTCCGCTGCTCCGTTTGCGATGCGCATCTTCACAACTGGTACTTTGAGCGTGAGGGATTGCTCTATTGCCGTGATGATTACTACGCCCGTTTCGGTGATGCCTGCCAGCAGTGCACGGAAGTCATCACAGGTCCGGTCATGGTGGCTGGCGAACATAAGTTTCATCCTGAGTGCTTCCGCTGTGCCGCCTGTAGCGCTCCAATAGGTGAGGGCGAGGCCTATGCACTTGTCGAACGTTCCAAGCTGTATTGCGGCCAATGCTATTGCAAGCGTCAGCAAACAGCGGGAGCGGGGGCCTGTGAACTGGACGCCAAGGCCATAACGACCGCTGTGGCGGGAGCAGCGCGTGGTCAGAGTAAACCCATGCATTCCATACGCCTCGTGGATATACCCAAGGATGCGACGCCGGGACTGCGCGTCGATGGTGGCGCTCTCGACGACGGCTGTCCAACAGTGCGCATTACGGAGTAAGTCAAGAGGCTAGTCAATCATGTAGACTAACCCAAATGGCACCCAAAACACACATTAACACACATACACACACATTAACTCCAACGCTTAACCCACTAAACATGCGTTATTAGAGCGATTCAAGTAGACTACGCTATGCAACAAGATATTATTTCATTTATAAATTATTGAAAGAAAACAACAAAAAATATACTCTTGTACAGAGTATAAAAAATATTCAATATGCTGGCGACTAACTTGGTAATCAAACAAACACTTAGGCACATCCAATCAAGAATTTAAGTCAATTGCTATTTTATGAGTCAGTCCATTGTTTCTTTATAACTTGGCCCTCTACATTAAATATTGTTTCGGCTATCAGTTAGTTTGTGATTTGCTTTCCCACAGAAAAGTGCGCAATAACTGCATTTAATTGTTATTTGTAATACTTTAAGTTGTTCTTGCTTAATAGTTCTGTGAACCTAAATCGTGGATCTCATTGTATGCTTTTCAATACCGAATCGTTAAGTAACAAAAGCTAAGCTACGTTGATCTAGCCTAGTGGATCTGTTTGTCTAAACGCCTCGATCAAGTGAACTATAGCTATGCAAAACTTAAAATAGACATTACACTGCCGATGCGCTTACTATCGAAAGGAAGCACGGTTATATATCACATAACTGACAAATTGCGATCAGTCGATATGTACATATGTATGTACGCCTTTTTATTTTCAACTGTCCAGTGTACGCGTAAATTCTATTTAAATCGAAACTGTCACAGCCGTCGATCGTTGAATATCCATATCGCATGAGTCATAGCAGTAAGCATTATAGTATTACAGCATTATATCAGGAACTTCATTTTAAATCGTATGCATGTGGCTGTGTATTTATTTAAATCGTAAACTTATCGTACGTGCCATACGATCGTCGCATGTTCTGCAATTACAACAATCTTATAACTTTTTTAAAAGAATTTGGATCCATTTGCAAATGATCACGCCACATTTTAAAAGTATGTATGAGTCTTTCACTTTGAAAGTGAATCTTTTTCTAAATAATATTTTTAATGCCGTAGTTAGATTTGAAAATTAAATTGAATTTACACAACTAAAATATAAAGCAGTACTATATAATCGTACTAAGGTCGATAGTTAGGATAAAAGAAAATCACCTTATAACAAAAAAGGAATTGTCTTAATGGCAAGTTGTTGATTTGGAAATAAATTGCATGCTCTCTATGATGGTTCATATTTTTGGTAATATTTGGATGCGCGGTTTGAGTTGGTGGCCAACATGCGGACACGCAAGGATATCCAAATTTGTGTTTGGAAATGTTCGAAAATGATTAGTAACTTGTTGCATGGTGCTAGGACTTTGGGTCTGATGCCTACTCGGTGCTCTGGAAACGTATTATAGCATAAATCCTAGTGGTTGGTTTCATGCCGCGATCATTTGCTTTTCTCTCTCTTTCTCGCTCTCGCTCAAGTATCATTTGTAAATTTTATGGCCGCGTCGGCAAATATGCGTTCTCGTTGCTAACCTCGGTGGCCGGTCGTTGTTGTGGTTCATATAGGTAAAAAAAAATATAATAGTAAATCAGCTAATCCGACGTGCCTGGGCCTAGGCCCAGTACCATTATTGACTACTAATCCAATCTCTGACACTCACCACCTCCCCACTATATATATAGAATCGACGTTAACCTCACCAATCTGCACATCGGCGATCGCATTCTGGAGGTCAATGGCACACCAGTCAGCGACTCATCCGTTGAACAGATCGACAAGCTCATACGCACCGAAAAGATTCTGCAGCTGACCGTAGAGCATGATCCGGTGCAGGTGTGTCGCAGTTGCAGTCAGGCTGACATTCAACGCGCGTGTTCCGCCTCAACCCTGGCGTTGCCGCTGACGACATCTGCCTCCAGTGTCGAGGTGGGCGGCCGGGAGCGTCTCTATAAGGCTGCCGAGCAAAGTGCTAAGGCGCGAAAGATGCGCAAAACAGCTGCCGCAGCAGCAGCAACGGCAATTAGCAACAGCAACAGCATTGTAAGCTCACCCACCACCCCATTAAAGGAGAAGGAACGCTGCTCCAGCCTCTCCAAACTGCTGGATGAACAGCACACGGCACTACAGCATTCGGCACACCCGCAACTCTACGACTTGTCGCGCACCCAAAGCTTTCGGGTCGTTGAGAAGCCACAGCGCATCTTTCGACCCTCCGAACTGGTGGTGGGCGAGAAACTAGGCGAGGGCTTCTTTGGGAAGGTGTACAAGGTGACGCACAAGCCTTCGGGTAAGGTTATGGTGCTCAAGGAGCTGCATCGCGCCGACGAGGAGGCGCAGCGTAACTTCCTTAAGGAAGTAGCCGTGCTCCGACAGCTAGATCATCGGCATGTGCTCAAGTTTATTGGCGTACTCTACAAGGACAAAAAGCTGCATATGGTAACGGAATATGTGCCAGGCGGTTGCCTCAAAGAGCTCATCCACGATTCAGGAAAAACACTAAGCTGGACGGAACGTGTCGGGTTTGCGCGGGACATTTCCTGCGGCATGAGTTATTTGCATTCCATGGACATTATACATCGCGACCTTAACTCAATGAATTGTCTGGTGCGTGAGGATCGTTCGGTCGTTTTGGCCGACTTTGGTCTGGCGCGCAGTGTCGATGCACCACGCATAGGCGGGGCAGGCTCAACGGCAGCATCGGGTAGTGGCAGCATCAATGGAGACGCCTTGTCCCTGGCATCAGGCGGTTCGCCACTCAGTGGGAGTGGCACACTACGTCGCAGCAAGAGTCGACAGCGACGACAAAGGTACACAGTAGTGGGCAATCCCTACTGGATGGCACCCGAGATGATGAAGGGCCTTAAGTATGACGAGAAGGTGGATATCTTCTCCTTCGGCATAATGGTGTGCGAGGTAAGTGTACAAGAGCGAGAATTAGGCTAAGCACATGCTTGTCTTTGCATTATTAAGTGAAATCAGCTTAGCTATACTCTACCTGGATCAATCAGTCCGAAATAGTCTTATAGGTCCTATCAATTTATTAGACCCTTTTGTTGTTCCTCTCTCGTTGTCTAATTATTAACTTTTTAACATTCTCCATCTTATCTTTTTTAGATCATAGGCCGCATTGAGGCCGATCCGGACTTTATGCCGCGCAACTCGGACTTCAGTTTAAATCAACAGGAGTTCCGCGAGAAGTTCTGCGCCAACTGTCCAGAGGCCTTTTTCAAGGTGGCGTTTGTCTGTTGCGATCTCAATCCGGACATGCGTCCCTGTTTTACAACGCTACACGTCTGGCTTGAGCGTCTGGCCGCACATTTAGCCGTCAAACAAGCCCCTCCGATTGTGCTGCTAAATGAGATCGAAAACTTCCAAGAGAGCTACCTTAGCTCTGAGGATGCGTTGTCACCCACATCGCAGCGCAGTCTCGACAATCTGGACGTGGTGTGCGAGCAAGAATCACCCGAACCATCAAAGCAACAAATGAAAGCAGCAGCTCACAAGGAAACGTCGCCTCCTGCTGCCTTACTTTCCTCTGGCGAAGAAAAAGAGAATGTAACAATGCGCACAAAAGACATACCGAAGTCGCCACATCTGGGCAAGGATTTCTCTCCGACGGGTGAGCGTCTGCGCGACAGCATGCGCGCTCGACGCCGCCAGCGTTTTCTGGGCGCCCAGCAACAACGACGCGGCCTCACGCCCGAGACTACATCGACAGAGCGAGCACTCAAGCATGCGTTGAAGAAGTGCCGCCCCTTTGGTGAGAAGGGTTTTCTGGTGGATCTCAAGCCAGGCGCTGAGCTACAGCTGCAGGATGTGCGTGACCTCAATAACTACTCGGATTTCGATTCAAGCTGTGATACCAGTCTCAACTATCAAGAGGCCAATGCGCCGCTTGTGGCAGAAGAGCATGCGGTGGAGCAGCTGACAGAGCAGGTGGACTCTCATGAACAGCAGGCATCGATGGCACCACCGCAGGAGCTATCAAAATTCCGCCTGGCTATCGAAGACATTCGTACACGCCTACAAATAGGCCACAGTAAATTCGAGCATTTGGACGAGGCGAATCGAAAGAATTTCAGCCAATCTCAGCGCTCGATGCGTAATTTCTTTAAAACGCCTCCGGCGGCTCTCAAAATGTTCCAGCGACTGGAACATGCAGCGCTCAATGGCAATGATAATGTCGCACGCACCCAGCGTATAAATCAAACACCCATCTTTGGGCGACGTTTATTGCCACGAATACCACTGGAACATGCTGAATCATTTGAGCATCTGGCACCGGGTCCACCAAAGCCGCCACGTCGGAACCTTTTGCCTTTGGAGCCCCTGAACCTCGGCAGCCGTGTCTCAGCTCCAGCGCCAGCTCCCAAACGCAGCAAAGCCGCACAACCACCGCAAACAGTAGCACCGCCACCGCAAGCAGTAGCACCGCCACCGCAAACAGTAGCACCTCTACATCCAGCTCCCGCAACACCACCAATGACGCTCACATGCACCGTCGAGCTGCATGCGGCCAAAATTATGCCGCCCCTGCTTCCCGACTACATGTACAAGAAGCACAAAATGACATTGCCCTTGTCTAATGCGAGTGGTACTCCCCCACGATCCCAAACTCGTGCCACCGCCAAGCAGAAAGCGAGCAAACCTTCGCCGACCGCGTCGCCGACTTATGTGAGCAGCCACCACCCACCGAGCAACTGCGTGCCTCCTACACGTCCACGTCCTGCATCACCTCTCAAGCATTTAGCACAAAGACACACAGCCGCAACGGCTCAGCGCGTGCACAGTGGTAAGTACTTCCAAAAGCCCTTTATTCCCTGCGCACCCAACGGCTTAAAGGGTATACATACTAGAAAATCGAGATGGCCAAAATATCAGGGCATCAGCCACACTCGACGAATTAATATAGACGTCCGTCTGTATGAACCCCGAGGACTCGGACACCATAACAGCTAGGGACAGGAGCTGCAGATACCAGTTATAGCCTCATTATTCTATATAACAGAAATAGACCGATTGGCTCGAAAAGTATATGTATGTACAACTTTTATCTTAACGAAATTTGGTATTTAAGAGTTCCTTGAAATGCGTCGGCATAATTTGAAGATTCATTAAAGTCTGCGCACCTTATATTTAATTGCTATAGGACCGATAGATGAAAAAGAGTAAATACTAAGTACGACAGAATATTTTTCTTTATTATGATATCACAAGCAAGTTTGGTATTACTAAAGCAGAGAGAGAGAAAGAGAAGGGCAGGGTACAGGGTATGAAGGAGGCATGCTCGCACTTTAATATTATATTCCTGTTACGGACACAGACACTAACACTGCCATTTCTATTCACAGCCATCAAACTTCAGCAACAGCAGCAGCAAACAAAGACCACGCGCCTAAACATACTCAGTCCCGAGAAAGTCCATCGGCTGAACGCGAAACTCAGCGATCAAAAGCAGAAACTTCGCGAGGAGGCTACAGCTCATAGCAACGGCCATGGTCAGGGACACACGCTTACCCATGGTCATGGGCGTGTTCCAGTCCTGCCCACCGGTAGCATTGTAGAACGACGGAAACGCGCACCCCCGCCACCGGCACGACCGCATTTAAACACGCGTTGTTGAGCAGCATTCCATTGACAAACATTCCACGATGATGATGATGATAATGATGATGAATAAATTAAACAAAACGATAAAGCAACGAAGATAACGAAAACGAAGCGACAACTCGAATCCTCTAAGCGTCGGCAGCGACGGCAGTTTATAAAATGTTCGAGTTCAACGGTAGTGCATTACAGAGGAATAGGCAAGGGCTGAAAGAGAGAAACCAGCACAGCAATAGACTTGAAATCAAAGCCAAATCGACGCTTACCACTAACTGTTATACATAGTATGACAGTTTCATACATACGAGTACATACATGCAATATAATATTAACCAAGAAATGATCTTGCCAGCGTAGAAACTTGTCTGCCTCAATAGTACGTTCAAAACCTCAAAGCTTAATATTCATCAATCCGTTCCATTCTGATGTGGTAGCGAATGAGGATAAAAAAAATGGAAAATAAGCAGACAATAAGAATAGAAAACAGGTATTCGCTCCACATGTTAAAGAGATCCTACTATAAATGCTCATCAATAATTATTTGCACAAATTTAGGTGAGAATAAGTTGTACTTAGGCAGAAGGAGTTCTTAAAACAATATCGAAACTAGAATACCCTTCGAAATCTTAACATTTCTTCATAGTAGTTATATTCCCATTTGCGTATGTATGTTTGGTTAGGCGATTTGAAATCCGATAGCATTATTTAGTAACGTTAACTAAATTCCTAGAACTTAATTTGAAACGACCGCAGCTAACGACATCTTTCTTATATAGAAGAGGCACCCGAACTCAATAAAATTCGGTGTACTTATTGAGTATAACAGAAATTTCAATTTTGCTCATTTGAATTTGGGTTGAAATAACTGTTATACACCATCCTACTTACCGCTGGTTGGCTGCGCTCTCTACGCTCTGTGAACGTTTTCTTTTTTCTACTTATGAAAGGTAAAGTGCCTGTAAAAGTTGCAATATGTATTTACAAAATCGGTATACTATAACAAGTGTATTATAAAACTTAAACACACAATTAGAATGTACTGCTTATTTAAAACAGGGTATGCAATATAAAAGTCCAGCAAAAAAACAAAAAAAATAATAATAATACCGAACAAAAACTCGTATCCTTAAAATATTAAACGCTAAGCAATTTTTGTGCGAAAGTTAAAGAGAGAGAGAGAGGAGAACACGAACTTGTGCCATGTCCACAGACAATGTGCCCTTCATGCGACGATGCCGCAGAGTGAGATGACAACAGTCTGTTTACGTTGTTGTTGCTGTTGTTGGCACATTGCTTGGGTGGAAAACAAAAATATTGACAAACTAAAAGACAAAAGAAGATAATATATTAAAAAAAATATATATATATATATACATAATTATTTTTTTATACACATATATTCTATAATTAGGGCTTAACTTAATTTATTACGGCTAGTTCTACCTACACACATACATACGTTATACATATGTATGCAACAAAATGCCCCTCCTACAAAAGAAAATAAGTGCTGCTAAATACATGCATAGATATTTTACTTAACAAATGTTTGCACAAACTTTTATACATGCATATAACAGTGAAATTATAAAGTCTAACTTATGATGATAACAATAATGATGGCGATTATTGTATTTGTATAGTGTAAATTGTAATCGATTTTGCTCAATGCAATTTAGATCTAATTAGGTGTATAAGTGGCACACATGCTAACTGTTATACATACGCGAACAAAACAAAACAACAAGCAATTGAAATAACGTTACTTACGTTGTTAAACTGTTATACTGTACTAAATTTAGGCCTCAAATCGAAACGCTTACAATTAACTGCTATACTATATTGATTATACATAATTATACATATACTCGAATATTACAAGCATTGGAATTATACGCATAATACTTCACAAGCCCCCCATATATATAAATATATACTTAGATAAAGCCAACATAATGTCAATCATCTGTGCATATGAGATACTGTTATATATTTATGTATGAATAGAGCTCATCAGCATGTTAATTTTTGTTCATACCAGATTCTTTTTCAGTGGCATATTCATACATACAACTATACAATAAATTTATATACACAATATATAGATATAGATATACATATGTATTCGATAGTTTTTTTTTTACATATGCCGCCATTTAAATATGCGTCTCTCAATTTTGTACTCTAACTCTAGACTTACGAAGCATACGACATTGTAAATACAATGTGTATATCGTATAGAACCCATTTTCTATGCAATTGATAATTTCTATGTTTACACCCTTTTGATTTTTATTTGTTAATAAAACAAAGTGAAGAACACGAAAACTATAAACTATGCGTTTCTCTTTAATGTCGGCTAACGGCTTAACCAAAAATTGGGCCTATTTTAACATATCTTCAGTGATGCAGAATCTCCTTGATAAATTAGAGCTATTTGTTGTTCTCCTAATAAAATGTCGAATATATAGGAATGAACTGTTAACTTAATAATTCGAATTATGTACGTACCTAAGTTGGAAAACTTTGGTGGATCATTCTGCGTAACAGCTTGGATACCTCGTTTTGTAGCAAGTAGAGAATGCTGTAGCCTTCGCGTCATTCCACCAAAATGCAAAAGAGCATCATAATAAAGGAAATACGAAAGTCGTGCTGCCTTTACTATTTTCTTCATTCTAAATTCCATGCATCATAAATTCAAGCTAGCCTATATTTTATGCATTCCAATTTTGTAAATTTATCCTTTCAATCGAATCAATAAACCTTTCTTCGCATATAAGCCAATTTATCCAAATAGTATGCGTATGTGTTGACTTTCGATGATGTTCTTGAACTTGAACCTAATTATTTGTATTGTATAAATATTTTGTATATAAAACGTTTGAAGAGATAAATAATAAAATCTAAAAAGCCGAAATGGTGTACAAGTAGATCTAACAAATTACAATAATATCTAATATCTATCGACTCGAGATGGGAATTCACAGCCAAGTGTAAATAAAACTCATAAAAATATGGTATCAGTGAAAAGAAACTAGGAATTAGTTAATAGCTAATTCATTTACTACAAAGGAAAAAAACAAACAAAAAATGAATTTTTCGAATGGTGGGTGGACGATTTATTAGTTAGTCCGACAAGCTATGAGAATCCGGAGATAGCTAACAGGATGCTTTAAGAGAGAAAGTAGAGAGTTTTCGATTCAGGGCAGGTGGAAATGAAAATTATAATACATATGTATAAGTATAAAACCCCAACCCCTGTACAAATAGGAGTATTACGATAAAAGAAGTATAACAACAAGAAAATGTTGTTGTGCAAAGAATTCAGAAATTCTGGCGATCCAAACGGGCAGAGGACAGTCCTCCGAATAGCCAGCTACGAAAGATTAAAAGGGTTGACCGTAGCTTGGGATCCCAAACACAAAAGCCAACAAGAAAGGAATGCTAGAGTCGAGTGGGCTCAACTCTTAAATACCCTGTACACGCTCCCAAAAATAAGAACAAATTTTGAAATTTAAATTAATAAATTAATGAATAGTTTAAATAAAAATTATGAAGCACAGAATTATGTCAACAAACATCATCAACAACAACAGCTGCAGAGCTTGGGCAGAGAATATATGTATGGCTATAACTTTCTTTCTAATTAATCTAACATAATGAAACTCAATATATGTGACTACCAAATTTTCCAAGAATTGGGTGAGTTAGAGAAAATAATGAGTAGAGGGGGACTGGGTAGTGGGAGTGGTAAAAATGAATGAACTTGCCCTTTCTCGGGCTTAGGAGTGTCTACATACCAAGTTTGGTTATTCTAGCTCTTATACTTTCTTAGATCTTTGCGTTCATACAGACAGACGGACGGAAATGGCTATATCAACTCATCTTGTCACCCTGATCAAGAATATTTATACTTTGTGGGGTCTGCCACGCCTCCTTCTGTGTGTTACATGTAAACTCTCGCACAAAACTAATATACCCTTTGGGTACAGGGTATAAAAAGACGGAATTGTAGCAATATAGCATATTAGCAATATTCAAGTAAAAGCCATACAAGAGAACCATACTATACAGTAGCTTAGTGGTATAGGAAACATTGAATTCTTTGGACCAACGTTTAATAAATCTCTAAACGAATCATCAAATCATTAAAAGAACGCGATTTTGTATGTGTGTACATATGTATGTATATACATATGTTATTTTGCAGATCAAGACTAATTTGTGTAGTTTATGGGAGCTTCCTTCAACCGTCTATACTCGAATACTGAATACAGACCGTTTTTGACAATAAATAGCTATCTTTTGTATATAAATACTATATGTATATACATATGTATGTCTATTTGTGCACATGTATATGTATATTTATTTGTGTGTATTCAGGAGTGCATGAGCACCAGTTCGGTGTTACGTGCAACGATTCAGAGGCAGCCCGGCCAGCACGTCGACCTGGCCGAATGCCCACCTCGGCCACCCCCACGGCCTCTACTCGAATGCGACCACTTTGTAACCACCTCGAATTCACCCGCTACTAACGGTATACACACATTTTGTGTTTCCGCATCGTTTTCCCAGGAAACCGTTTGCCCAGATATACACACAAAATAAAGGGCAGCACGGCAGGCTTGTGTATCCATCGTGGAATTTGTCCCAGTCCATGGTTAAATGGATCGATATCGATACGATGCGCCAGGCCAACAGCCCAGGACAATGCATATACACACATATAGTATATGTATGTATGTATGTATGTAGATACATCCACAAATACATATGTATGTATGTATCTGTGTACTCTATATGTATAATAAGGTATTGTTGTACACACAAACGGCACGAGTTCAGCCGAGGCCGTGACAGGGAGGCGTGGCAAGCGGGCGAAAATCAATGCAGTTTGTAAACATGCGCAGTGGTGACGAGTTACGGACAGAAACACGGATACAGCACGGCGCACACACATTTCCTAGACGGAAAGAAGGAATAACCAAACAATGCAAGCTAGTGCTGTGCGGGTGACAAGAAGTGTCGTCATGACTCACGAAGCCCAATTTCTATTACAATCATGAAATTCTCGACTGCGTATAAAAAGAACATTTTACCAATGCTAATTAGATTTCGGATTTAATCAAATGTCCGCCGGCTTAATATAAAAACTTTAGAGCCGTGCAACGAGACAGTTTGCACTCACGATGCACTCACGGGGATACAAATATCTGGTTTTGTGTTTCACATACAAATGTATTCAGAAACTATTTGTCTGGTTACCTAAATGGTCGTGAGTGAAAACTTTTACAAAGCACAGCTCTGGTATATTAATTGAACTTTAATTCACATAGCTGGGAGTAGATGCCCTTTTGGGCAGAATGTGTCATTTATTCAATGAGTTTTTATGAGAATTTATATTGAAATAAATAAATAATAATTAATGAAATAATTCTGGGTTTTCCTAGCAATAAAATATATACATATAAAGATATACATATGTATGTATATCTCACGCACGCATTCAGCCACAGCTCTAATGCAAATATTTCAAACGCTGTTATGCTTAGCAGTGTGTTAACAGTGGGCAACGTTGCCAAGTTTCAGCTTTTAATTTCATTAACAGTCTCCTGTGCCGAAAACAGCTGATTGCGTCGCGTGTAGCGAAAAAGGCAAAACGGTTGCTCCGCTTCTGCTTCTTCTTCGGTTTCGGCACGCCACTGACGTAGCAACGGTGCTGGTGGAGGGGGCAGCGGCTTTCAGTTCGGCAGCAGCGCAGTGACGACGCGACGTTACGTATTCAAGGTCTACATTTGTGTATCGATACCTAAACGTATTCGGTGTGTATATGTGTATGTATGTACATCCATACGTACATGCGTGGTATACACACAACAATTGGAGCCAACACTAGTTCTCATTCTCGTTTCAACCCCCCAACACAAAACGCACCACTCGCACACGACGTGCCCTGCCAGTAGCTACTTTGTTTTTGCTTTTGCTTATGACGTGCTCGCACGTACGGCAAGCAACTGTTGTATGTGTAAGTATAGAGCACATACACGCACGCATACATATGTATATAATTGAATACATACATACACGAACGTTTCGACGGGCATGTGTATGAATCTGTGTGCGTAGAAGCGAAAGAGAAGTGCGCGCAGTAAATGAAAAATGTGGACAGCGATCCCAATAGCCAATTTGATGTGAGAGTCTCAATGGGAATTTCCACGCTAACTCGCGCAATCTTATTCTACTAAGCCATAAAATGACCTATTAATACAAAAACTTAACATTGAATTCGTAAAAAGTTCAATTTTTTATAGCTATTGTATGTACATATAATTTAATTTAAAGAATTTAAATCGAAACAATTTACAAGTATGTAAACTACAACTTATGTATATCGAATGAATCTTCATTCGATTAAGATTTTTAGCCAACATTTATCTCTTTTTAAATTGTTTTGTCTCTGTGCAGCAACAGCGAACTTCTTGTCGTTATATTGTCACTATTGTAAATCTATTTGTATGTAAATATTGACAAAATATTGTGGACATATATTTTTATACCTTGTACCCAAAGAGTGAAAGGGTATACTAGTTTTGTGCGAATGTATGTAACAGGCAGAAAGAGGCGTGGCAGACCCCACAAAGTTGATTGTTTTTTGATCAGGATGACAAGACGAGTCGATATAGCCATGTCCGTCTGTCTGTCTGTCCGTCTGTCTGTATGAGCGCAAGGATCTCAGTAAGTACACGAGCTAGGATAACCGAAATTGGCATCAAGGTTCCTATAAGCCCTAGGCAGATCGAGTTTGTTTATTTTTTCTGATCCAACCCCCCACCCCCCCCCCCCCCCCCCAATAAACGATTTTCTATAACTAAAATTTGGTAGTCACATTAGGTTAGTGATTATATATACCAAGTTTCATTATGATAGAATGATCGGAAAGAAAGTTATAGCCATATAACCAGGCCCAATGCACACATACATACATATGTACAAGTACACAAACACGCATAAGGCACGATTCTGATGTAAATGTAAATGTATGTATGCATGCATGGAATATTTTATATTTAATTTAGTTAATTAATTAAATTAATTTAGTTAATTAATTAAATTAATTTAGTTAATCAATTTAATTAAATTAATTAATTAATTTAATTACTTTTTTGTGGGGTGGTACAGGGTATTTAAGAGTTGAGCCTGCTCGACTTTAGCATTCCTTTCTTGTTTCATTTAAAATTGAGTTGATCTCTTGTTTTGATGACATTTCTTTTAACAAAATCGGTAATACGTTAATGTTAAAGATTAAGCAAAAATGCTCGGACCGTTTCGAGAAAACCAATAGATTTTAATAAGTGCAGTATATCAGCTAATATTTCATATTAAATACATACATTGTATATGCAGGTTATGACTTATAAACGTTATCTAATTGCTGAAATTGAAAGATTTTAATTATGTACTTATAAAAGTTTATTTATTGTGTACATGTATGTACATTATTTATTTGTACATTTATTTAAGTGATCCAGTCAGGAATTTTGGGCTTCTTAATGTTGGACATTTTTTATGATGAGGCACACACATACATATAAGAATATACATATAAGAATATATTATACATCTACTTGAATAATTGACTGTTACATCTACTTGAATAATTGACAATAAGGAACTTCCCCTGTATGGTCTTGAATATCTATAAGAATAATAATAATATATATTTGTTGCAAGAAGAAGGCAGAGCTTTATCAATGCATATGTAACACTTACAAATAGCCATTCTAGCAGTTAAGCAGAAGCATTAATTATATAAGCTCCATAGCGAGATTTGTCCATCCATGCCCGCAGCTGCCATTATCGGAGCGCCCCACATGGCCACCTTTTGTGGCGAGAAGGCCAGATCCATGATGCTTCCGTGCTTGTGCTGTAGTAGCACGGCTAGTGATCGCATACTCTTCCAAGAGAAAATCCGAATGCGACCATCCCATCCGGCGCTGGCGAATACCTTCCGATCGCCCCGTATGCGGACGCAGTTTAAGCCAGCATTCCGGACTAATAATTCAGTACCGCGTAGCACCTTAATAGTCGGCGGTCTCTGGTAGCTAAAGACAGTTATTTTATCTGAAGCACCGCCTATAACACCACGGTTTGTCACTAGATCATAGTCCACAGTCGTAGGTTGTGGACCCAAGCCAGCTATCATATCCACAACGGTGCCCAAAGTGACGTTCCATGTGAGAAAGTGACCTGATTCATAGCCAGCCAACAAAAACAGATTGGATGAAAACTCGAAAGACGTGAAGCAGGAAACGGCGCCTAGTTGTGGTAAATTTGGGCCATAAGGCACAAGTTTTTGTATTGGTTCTGTCGGATCAGTGATATGCAAGACGCCTATGGTGGACCTGTCGCACGGATAAAATAATTTTACCGATCCATGGGGATTATTCGGGCTCATGTGCATGGCACTGTGACAGTAGCCCAAGTAATTGCCGGATATGGTTCGGTCACGCGCATAGCAGTTGTTGCTCATGGTCCACAAGGTTACGGTGCCGCCTTTTTCCTGGGTCACCAGGCGTTCCGGCGAGTGGTGTAGACTGGTAATTGGTTGTTCACCCACCTTGAAGTGGAAGGCTGGGCGGTTTGTCTGCAGATTCCACATAAAAACGTTCCCCTTAATAGTGCCGGCAAGCAGGCGTTCGTTGCCGTGGAAACACACAGAACTTACGGCATCCATTTCAGAGCAACGTAAGCTGTACACAGGATCGGGTGGTAACATTGCCATATCGAACTAGAAAATTAAACGAAAGATTAAAAATTTGGTAGAGATCGATATAAGGCGTTTGTTTTTTGTTTCCCTTTTTTTATTTTATATTAATCGAATTGCAATAAATTAGCAGGTAAGACTTTTTGAAACTTCAAACTAGTTGACAAATAAACCTGAGTAAACTGATTGAAAATTTTCATTCACATATGTATGTATAATGGACATTGGTGCATATCTGTTTGAAGTTAACGAATTGATCTATTTTTCATAACAACAACTACATACCTTGATAATATGTATGGTGCTTGCCTCCCAGACAATGTTAAGCATGCTTACATGTGCATACATACATAAATATGTGCATATCTGTAAGTTCCAGAGCAAATTTACCACGGGGGCTTTTGCGCTAGCTATGAAAACACACACACACACCTACATATGTATGTGTGCATGGGGCCATAAATAGGTATTTGCCTTTGCCATGCCTGTTTTTTCACTCTTCTTCTTCTAGTTCGCCCGTTCGCTTTGCTTTGTACGGCCGCCTCGTTCGTCTTCGTCGTCATTCCGTTCCGAACGTTGTGCCGTGAGGTTGATCGCGGCAGATTGTTTTTCTCAATTTTCTCAATTCGTCGTCGCAGCAGCAGCGGTTCGGTCGTTGCGCTGCCTCTGCGTGTATACTACGCTTGCTTTTCGGTGTTTGTGTGTGTGTGTGTGTATGCTCGTCGGTTGCGTGCTGTCGCCGCAGCGCAATAGAAATAGCGAGAAAGAATCAACTACCAGCCCTTTTGTTTTGCATTTTTTTTGGTAGTGAACAAAAAGAAAATAGAAATAGATAAACAACAGAAGCAACAACAACAACGAAAAAGTTTTTAACAATAACGACACGGCACCCAACACAATACGCGCTAGCGTGTGTTAGATATACATACACACTCGCGACGCTCGCATACATACATAAATGTGCGTCTGGCTGTGTGCGATGAGCGGTTTTGAAAATCAATAACAAAAAACGCAAAGCATAAACACAAAAATGTACAACAAGCAGCCGCAGCAGCCGTGCCAAAGAGCAATGCAAAAAACAACAAACCGCCACCGGTCGTCACTTTATCTGCCACAGCAGCAGCAACAACTACAAAAATTGTTAAAGCATTGTGCCGATAATTATTATCGATACTAATTATTGTTGAAAATACTGCAACCAACAGACGACCGCTCAAAGGAATATCAGAAAATCACATTCAAAATTTTTTTTAAAAATATATTCTGTGTATTGTAATTGTGTGAGTGCGCGTGTGCTCGTGTGTGAGAGCAATTGCAACTGCACGGCGGGATATAAAGAGAATAAAAAGCAATAAAAGAAAAAAACAAAAAACTAGGGCGACTTGCGCGCGTAAATTTGGGTCGCAGCAGCCGACAGCGATACTGCAAGAGCAAACAGAAAACGGCATCGGCAGCGGCAACCTAGTCCCAGTGCATTCATTCCATTGGCCGCCAGATATTTCCAGTCTTTAGCATCTCTCATCTCCATCCCGACATTGCCTTTTCCCCCCTTTCCCCCCACCAAACTCCAGCCATGTCGTTGCAAACGAAGCGCCAGCACTGCTATCTGTGCGACCTGCCCCGCATGCCCTGGGCTATGATCAACGATTTCTCGGAGGCTGTGTGTCGCGGTTGTGTGAACTACGAAGGCGCCGACCGCATCGAGGTCGTTTTGGATGCAGCCCGTCAAATGAAGCGCCTCCATCCAGGCACAAAGCGTGCCCATGAGAATGGTGAGGTGGTCGTCCTTCAGCAGCAACAGGCGGCGGCTGCAGCCGCTGCTGCCGGCCTGCAGCAAGTGCCCGGTCCACATCGTGGTGCACCAAGCGGGGCTGGTGGTCCGGGTCCCTCTGGTGCCGGTGGTCCCCTTTCACAGAGCAGCGTTTCGGCTGCTGCCGCAGCTGCAGCACATCATCATCACGTGGCGGCCTATCAGATGCCCGTGCCACGCATTGGACCGCCACAGAGCAGCAGTCTCATGGATTTTCCTGTCAAGCTGGAGTCCTCGCCACATGATGGCTCCGGCGGCGGCCGGCCAGTACGCATCCCGCACATGACGCCCCACCATATGCCGCCGACGTCTGCGCAACGCGGCAGTCTGGCTGCCGCAGCCGCAGCAGCAGCCTCACAGCAGCCCGGAGGCGGTGGTGGCCTAAGTTTAAGTGGCGCTAACTCCGGCAGCGGTTCTGTGCTGCCACCAGCCCTTTCCGTTAACTTGAAGCGCCCACCCTCCGAGGATATGGACGAGCAGCATGGTGGCCATGGCGTCGGTGTTAATGCCCCCGATTTGGCGGGCAGCAGTAGCGGAGGAGGTGGCCAACCCAATGCCAAGCGTAGTGCTCTGGATGATCCCAGTGGCGTGAGGCCACCCCTGACACGTGGAGAATCGCTGCCGGCTGCTGTCAGTTTTGTACCCGAACGTCAGCTCAACATGCGAGATAAACAGCAGCCAGTGCGTGCCCCCAGCTTCGATGCATCGACCTTTAAGGCGGGCGGTAAGTAGAGTTAGCGCCTTTATTGATACCGGAAGAACTGTTTCCCATGTACTGCATTGATATTTAACGGCAGTTGCATTTCAGTCCAATATTCTATACTTGTTACTTTCTTTAAACGACAAAATTTCAAATTTAAAAGGTTTTTTCATTTTATATAAATACATACATATATGTATATTTTTCGCAAAACTCACAGATGACAGTTACGAATGCTGTTCACAAATTTTAGGAATTGTGATATGTAATAAGGGTAATCGATAGTACCGGTACCAGCGATTCAGCTTTTGTTATAAATATTTCTACCCTTAAATGAGAATACTTCGAACTATTATATATTCCGAGAAAATACATTTCTCAGTGAAAGTGTGTTGCATTACTATAATTGTTTAGAACATTAACGCATAATTATTCAGTGCGGTTACAGTTACGGTAAAGGTCCAGAAAAGCTAGAGCTCCGAAAATGTAAAATTGTATTTGGGAATTCAATGGGAATAGGATATTTCATTCGTTTTTGTTACTGATAAAGTAACTTTATGGGACAATATAGTACATACATGCATATGTAGACATATGTACATATGTACCTACTATACATTATCAAACGTATACATTATTCTTGGACTACAAACAAAAACAAGTGTTTTTGCGTACAAGACTAGAAATAAATTGTTCGACTTCGATTTTAGGGGGTAAAACCAAACGAGCGATAAGCCAACCGTCAAACTGGTACAAATTTGGATTAGCCGGACGACTTGTGAACAGTCGTGATTTTGATAAGAGAGCTAGCGTATATATGTATGTATAAGTGTATGAGCGTATTGGTTTGAATGATAAGCCCGCGTCGGCTGGCTTATCAGTCAAACCAATACGCTTATCAAACCACCACGCAAGAGGAAGATAGAAAAAATTGCTTTGTGGGCGAGCTTTTACGCGTGAGAGCAGCCTATGGTTCTGGTTGTTGCTGCTGAAATGAGAGTTCTTGTTGTGTTGTGCTTTTTTTGTTGTTGTTATCAGCGCGGCATGAGTAGCATTTATTAACTCAATGTTGTCGGCGTTGCCGCTTGCCTTGCTATGCGGCGCATTGTTGATAAGAGGAACTGCCTCATTTATAACCAATGGCGATTAGATAACAACCAAATGCTTATCAGCTCCCGCTTATCAGTGTGCTTACACTTTTTGCGTTTTAGCAGCCCCCTTTCCGATTTCAGTCCATCGGCAGCAAAAGCTTGTACTTGGAAATTGTAGGGAGCTGCCGCCTCTGGCTTTTCCAGGCAATGTCGCAACAAAGGCTTAGCTCGAGAGTGTGTGTATAACAAAACACACACACATGTACCACATGCGCATTCATTTGTAGAGACATACATACATATGTATGTATGTATACATGTACGCACATAAGTACGTAGACACCCGCGCAAAAGTAAACGCAAAAGTGCACGACAACCCCGAGAAAGCGACAACCCTTTGCATAGACACGGAGCAACAACATTTATAATACAAGAAAAAAATTATAGAAAGGACAGTCAACGCGTTCGTGTCATGCGCAGTAAAAAGCGAAAATATACATATGTATGTATGTACTACACGCACGCACACTCATACAATAACATGTAGTGCATGTATAAGTTCATGTATTTACTTACTGTTGCTCCAGCCACTGCACGTAACTAAAAAGAAAGAAAAAGAAGGAAACGCAACAAAAAAAAAAGGGGCGGCCGCGGCCCGCACATGTAATAAAACAGACGTGCAAAAATTGCCAGACCCCCTCTCTCACTCTGTAAATGTACTCTCACGCCCTACGGCTGCCATGTAACTGTGCTATCCTATCCCTCTCTCGGACACTTTGCTATGTGTAATCTGGCCAAACGAGTTTTTTTTGCTGTTGAGTTAATTCGCGGTCTGCTTGTGTGTTTTATTTTTCGTTTTGCTTCTTTCTCTTTGGGTTATACGCGCGCGCAAAACGTCATTAAACTTGTTTTGGTTTTTTTCTTCCTCTTGCTGCTTTTACGCTATGCGATAACAAGTCACATGCACACACACACGTACACGTTTAAACGAAGATAAATTTTAGTTAGTATACACTGCAGTGATCGGCTGCTAGTATACACAAAAAATTAATACATACATATACACACACATATGTATGTATGTATGTATTTTGCACATGCCGATGCCGTCATCTGCCATCGGCGGCGCATACACAGTAGATACAAATGTGTTTTTTCAAGATAAACAAAATTTGGAATTCTTGAATTATATATGTACATTTATTTTGTTTAATTCTGTCATGTTAATCGGTTTAGGTAGATCTTATAAAATTTTCTAAAAACCTTTTATAATAGTACTTCAACATTCACAAATATTAAAATTTGTTCTGGCTCATAATTTGTTTATTTTAAAAGTTCTCAGATAACTAATTAGATTGTCAAAAATGTTCTCATAAGAATTTGTATATTTGTGCAAAATAAATTTTTTGTTCAGCTTTGATAAATGGAATCCTTGCAGTAAATAAATTGGCCACTTTATTATTGATTCCAAATAACAATTTAATTCAAATATTAAATAGAGTAATCGATTCCGAATTTACTAAATTTGTCCCACTGTGAATGTGGTTTGTTTGGCTTTTGCTTGTGTTTGGCCAACGTTGTTGCTTGCTCCTTGTTATTGCATATTACGTGCTGCATTTACGTTTGGTCCTTTATGTGTGTGCGTGCGTGTGTTTCATTACCAAAATAAAATAAAACAACAGACAACTTGGTATACATACACAATAAGGGGGTCTACATACTGCGCAAAATTTTACAAAACCAAAACGACAACGTGCGCGTCAGTCACTCCCGCCCCATTCTCTTCCTATTCTCATCGACCCATTCCCTCATCAGACATCGTTTGGCGCTCAGCTCTCACATTCTCTTTGCCATAAGTGTTTGTATGCGTGGCTGGGTTAGTGTTGGAGGCTTGATGTGTGTGCTGCTGACCATTCCAATAAGCAACTGTTAGGAATTTGTTGTAAATACAGAAATGTGATAGAAAGACAGATATGTATGTATGTATGTAGGTAGATAGAGAGTAAGCGATAGTTAGACACGCAATGCGTAACGGTAGTAAGCATTACAGCAGTAACAACAGCAGCATCCCTTTGCTTTTAAAATGTATTACGTACACATGTACATATGTACATACATATGTGTGTATCTATGTACATATGTGTGTGTGTATATTGCAGCATCTCCGCTACTATTCGTATACTCTCGCACTTCACCCGGCGACTTTTATTTAACGGTTAACACGTGAGCGTTAGCGACTATTACACGCTGTCAGCGTTAGCTGATTAGATTTTTGGCGTCTCATTATCGTTGGCACGCTGCCCACGCACAGTGTACCAAGAGTCATGCTCTTTTCTGTGAATGAAACAAAAAAAAGTTGTGCCTGTACCCAAAACAATTTAAGACAATAAACGATAAGGGACCGAAAAAAAAATTGTTTATCAATGCTTATCTTATCGTATACTGCACAGTGTGCTAGCGATAAGACAAAACGACTCGAATATGCCCAGCAATAAGCAAAATTAAAAAAAAAAAAAACAATTCATACATATCAATAATCATTTATGTATATGTATGTTTATACCTATGACGTTCGCTTTTAAGGTGTGCATACATACATACATATATACTTAAGAATATAACATTATGTATACATATATACTTATGTAGATATGACTATTGGAATCGATATCATATATCGCTGTCGTCCCGTTTCATACTTTATTTTTCTGTTCATTTGTCAATGTTTATTAATTCCAATCGTAAAAATGATTAATAAATGCAACGCAATATAGCAGAACTACAGTATGAGTAACAGCATCAATTTTATAGTACGCCACCGTCGTGCTTTTTAAAAAGTATTCGTTGGTGTTGTTTTCAGTTTTGACAGATAAGCTGGAACGCGGCACACTCATTTCCCAGTTGTAGGAGCAATTGTGGTTAATACATTATATCGAAACCGTCGGGTGATAAATCCCCCAGTCGTTCGGTTGGTCGTTCTACTTGTAGAGTTTTAGAAATAGGTTCTACAGGTTTTGGCCATGTCCGTATGTATGAATACAAGGATTTCGAAAACTATAAAAGCTAGAGTTGCCGAACTTGGTATAGACGTTCTCCGAGAGAGGAAGGGGCTTTAGTAATTACTCATATCAAAAAGTCCAGCGTCCTTTTAGACACATTCGATGGAGCCCCTTCTTTGACTAACACATTATTTTTATTATCTGTTCATTCCTGGAAATTAACAAAGCTTGTATTTTTGAAAAAAAAAAAAACATATTCAAACATTTATGAAAGTAAAATTAAAGGTGGTACAGAGCTTTTAAGAGTCGGCAGCGCTTGACTCTTGTGCTTAAATTGATTTATAGCTGCGCGATCTACAAACATTCTTTTCCGAGCCTAAGGCAGTTACACTTTCGCCTCTAACTACTATACACACAGCTGTTTTATTCTTATCTTATCGGTGCTCGCTGGAGTGCTTTGGCTATATCATCGCACTATCTAACACCAGGGCCAACTTTGACTGATAGCACGGGTGTGTTGAAAATTCATACAACATACATATATAGCCATGCATGCATACTATATGTATGTACATATACTTGTCTGTATATTTGTGGACTCATACATTATGGGCTGATATGGCTCGGCAGCATGTTTGTAAGAGTGCTTCAAGTCCATAAAGTTTGTTTATTTTTTGATTATACTCATGTATGTATGTAGATGCATGTATGTACATGCATTTATGGGATCTTTTTCTCTGTTAATTGTTGCATTTATCCAACTAAGTTATGTATAAATATTTACACAGCCCCAAGTCAATGAACAGACACGATATGAATTTGAACTTTTAAGTTTGGGCATAAAATTCATTATTTATCAGTCGGTATTCGCAGCAGTGGAAACCAATAGGCGGATCCACTTGAAAAACTAAAGAGCTCTTCAAATAATGTGCTA